TGAAGGCCTATTTCATATAGCATATGCTTGCTAAAACAGGAAAGTTTTATGAGTTGATGAAAACAAGTAAGAGAAAGGCCAGAGAGATATCACAAGGTAATTTATTCCACAAACCAGAGGTTACTACTGAGGAAGCCCTTTGTTTCATCCCCATCACTAGTCATACCCGAGCCATAAACAGGAAACGGACCTCTTCAATAGATCTTAGGGAACAGGTAGGCCTGTGTTGGAGCCTATGTTCTCCCAGGTGTCCTGTACCTAAACCATTAGGGCTTCAAAATTAACCAACAACACCTTGAATTATGCCTTCAAACAAATTGGCCACCAAAGCTGTTGTTTACTTTATTTATTTATTAGAAGAGGTGCTATATAATCTCATGGATGAGCACCCACAAAAATATTTTCTGTTGCATTCTGGACCAAATGATGTTTTCAAAAATTCTGCAAACTAGTTTCATATAAATATAACAACAGCAGCAACCATGTATGTTAAAGTAATCCCAACTGGGCATACAATTGTTGCTGTGGCCAGGGCTGTTTTTCTCAGGAATGGATGCATTTGGCACACCTACTTAACTTTGGTAAAAGCACAGCCGCTATCCAGTTATCCAGATGTGCAGCAGGATCAAAAGTACTCCTAAACTGTGTTGCAAAAATGCCCTTAGTCTTCTCCCCTGCACCCTGGTTTTATTTATTTATGTATTTATTTATTTACGGTTTTATAGACCATCACAATAGCCACATGACTCTCTGGATGATTCTCAATTGTCAGAGAAAAAGGGAACCAACATCCTGACAAGATTTGAATTGTTTATTTTGCATGTAACATAGGTCAGCAGCTAGGCTCATGCCCAAAAACTGAGCTGACCCAAAGCAAAGGGTTGGGCATATCTCTTATTGTTTACAGGTTAACAATCAGCTTTCCTTGCACATCTCAGGGTATTTCAACTGTATAGTCTATAGGTTAACAATTGAGCATGTCAGAGTATTTCCAGGCTAACAATTGATTCTAACATTAATTCTAACTGTGCCTATGTCCCTTTCTTGATGTCATCAAAAAAAGTTTGTGACCGGTATTTTGTAGGTATCTGGCCTATAGTTCCAAGAAGAGACTGTGAGCTTACCCCTTTAACATTTGTGGTGAAGCTAAGTGGCCTGCATCTTGATGTGCGTTTGTGCTGAGGCTAGGCAGCTTCAGCCAGGTAGCATCACTTAGGTGATTTTTATCTTAACATTTGAGAAAAGGCCTGAGGTTTCTGCAGGTCCCTCTCAGCTTTAGCTCAGGAGTGCATGGCTTGTTCTTCTTTTACTTGTTGCTAGGGCAAGCTACCCAGAGCACTTTGAGTTCAGAGTCTGGCCATTGCCAGGGTATCTGGGTCACAGAAAACAATCTGTGACCAGTTGCCTTTTTAATTACAGCAAGCAAAGATTAGCATGATCAGCAAGCCTTTTCTAACAACTGCAAACTTGATTTTTCAAGAGAAGTGCTACCTCATCTGAAAATAACTTCCATTTTAACGGGATTAAACTTCACTTTAGCCTTCATGCAGCCCATTGCCACTTCCAGGCACCGGTTCAAGGCACTAACAGTTTATTATCTGATGAGAAGGAGAGCAACTGTTTCTAGTATTTCCTAACCAGAACAGCAAACATCCTATTGGCTTTAAAAAGCAGGTGAAAGACATGCTACCACAGAATAAATGTAGGTGTTGAGTCATCGTATTTTTACAAATTAAGAGTTTATTACCTGTTTTATTTAGTTGTTTGCTTGATTTAACCAAAAGATAATCAGGCTATATAAGTAACATTTGTCTAATATATGTTATTAATATTTAGCTGTAGAGATTCGGTTTCAGTGCTCTCAGTGTTAAACGCAGATGAGTTATGGTAAATCCCTAACTGAAGCATTTGAAGTTTTGAAGTGTGCATGATATGAGGTTCATTCTCTGGTTGCAACTATAGTTCAGGGCCACTTGGTGGCACTTCAAGCATAGCATATACAAGTCCTTAGCTGTACTTCCTAGCGTCTTTTTAAATAACTGTTGCAAAGCCATGGCATTTCTTCTTTCTGTGTACTGTGCCATTTTGTATACACATGGAATCTCTGTGCAGAAGTATAAGAGACATGTGTACACAATATAACCCAGAAAATGTGAGGGAGAAAAATTCACAAGCAGAAGCACAGATGCATTTTTTAAAGACTGGAAAGAGATACATTTTGTGTCTCTTGCTATATCTGTAATGTGTGAACAGGTCCTGAGCATACAGTGTGTTTTCGTCCTGCCTGAAAACTGTTCTAAGAAGCTGGAGATGGATCCTGGGTCCTGGTTACCTGAAGGAGCGCTTACATCCATATATGCCCAGCCGCCCCCTGAGATCAGCGGGAGAGGCCCTTCTCCGGGAACCCTCCGTGAAAGAAATTAGGAGGGTGGGTACTCGGAGGAGGGCTTTCTCTGCGGTGGCGCCTAAGTTATGGAATACGCTCCCCAGAGAGGTCCGCCTGGCGCCGTCATTATTTGTTTTTTGGCGCCAGGTGAAGACCTTTTTATTTAAGCGGCATTTTAACTGTTAGTATTACTAGATTTTATCTGGCCAGGGTGGCTTATTTTATATTGTATTTTTGTATTTTTAATTTAATGTTTATATTTATTGTAATTTATATTATAATTACTTTTAATTTATTGTTGTAAGCCGCTCCGAGGCTTCGGTGAATGGGGCGGCGTAAAAATGTTTTAATAAATAAATAAATAAAGTTCTAAGAAACTGGAACATGTCACTGGACCCAATTTTATTTGGATCAACAACACAGAACCAACTGCACTGATGGAATTTCACTTCTCTGTCCCCTCCTTCCCATAACAGCCTCTCCAGCCCCATGAAAAAGATTGAAGGGAGTCAGTAAACCCTGTTGAGTGGGGTAAGCTGTGTGTGGAGGATTCCCACATTGGGTGCAGGGCTCTTTTCCAAGCAGAGGCCTTCCTCTTACATAAAATGTATTGTCCTGATGTCTTCTGGTGGCTCAGAGATATTTGGTCAGTTTTTCTAACAATATAATGTTCCATAATTATATCATATTTGTTGTGAGATTTTCCCCTCCTGGAAGCACAACTCCACATGGTGAGGGGGTTTGAGGGTGTCAGAGGAACCAAGAGCAATACTTCAAGGAGGCCAGACTCTCTCACCAGGCTGGTCCCCCAGCAAGTTTACCCAAGGTAGAGTAGTCAAAGCTGAGACACAAGACTTAGATATATTCACCCTCTTCAAGACCAACAGTCACATCAGAAAAAGGGAATGGTTATCCCTAATGGTGATTGGGGCAGATAAATTCCTTAAGGACAGCTACTGGACAATGGTAGTAGTTCTGATTAGTAATCTGCAGAAGGCAGCAATGGTAAATCACTTCCGAATACTTATTAGGTTGTAAACCCTAGGATGAAACAATCCAAAAATGGAACAAAAGATAGTGCCAGAAGATGAGACTCCCAGGTTGGAAGGCACCCAACCAGATATTGAGAAAGAATCCAATTTTAAGATATGCAGATGATACCAGATAGTAGCAATGGACTGAAATGACTCCTAATGAAAGTGCAAGAAGAAAGTATAGAAGCAGTACAGCAGTTGAACGCGAAGAAAACAAAAATCATGACTACAGAAGAACTGAATGACTTTTAAGGTTGACCATGAAGAAACTGAAATTGTGAAAGTTAACATACCTTGGCTCAGTCTTCAATTCAGAGGTAGACAACAGCCAAGACATGCAAGGGCAGCAATAAAGGAAGTAGAAAAGATCATCAAGTGAAGCACATTTCATCAAGACAAAGTCAAGATCATCCACACTATTGTATTCCTGATCATTATGTATGGGAATGAAATCTGGACAGTGAAGGGAGCCAATGAGAAAAAAAATGATGCATTTCACACATAGTGCTGGAGGAGAGCTTAGTTAATATCCTGGACTGACAGAAAGATAAACAGGTAGGTCCTAGATCAAATCAAGCCAGAACTTTCCCTGAGAGCTAAAATAATAAAACTGAAGCTGTCACACTTCAGGCACATCACGAGAAGGGAACACTCACCAGAGAAGACAATAATGCTAGAGAGAGTGGATGGCAAAAGATGAAGACCAAATAGGAGATGGATCAAAGGAATCCACAGCCTTGAGTTTGTAAAAACTGAGCAAAGCCATCATGGACAGGACATTTAGAGAGCATTTTTTCATAGGATCACCATAAGTTGGAAGCTGCTTGATTGCATATAACAACAAAAATTGTGAGGTTTAAATGAGGCTTCCCATTTTTTACAGTAACTTAGAATACTGAAAACATTTTCTTACAAGGCAGAGTGTTGTTATTATATATGAAGATAGTTAAGAAAGCCAGTGTAGGATTGAAATGCTTCTGTTTTCAGTGGTTTGCCTCATTCTTAGAAGATGTGAAGTGATATAAACATTTCAGACTGACATTTCCTCCACATAGTATAAAATGTCCTAAATGTGTTACATTAGGTGCTCCAGCATCCAGTAGAGAAACTAAGTTTTTTTAGATGGGAGTGGCTGGTATACTGATGTGAAACATTATACAAATACAAGAAACCTCTCCTATTGTCCTCTAGAAAATACTAGGCACATTGGTGGTATGATAATGATGCCTAATCTCTGCTAATTATGAGCAACTGAGTACTGGCGATCTTTAGTGTGGATGATGGGAAAGGTGTTTGATCTTTCGTGTTGGGTGTGAACTTAAACTGTCAGAAATCCGTAGGCAGAAAGGTGAAATGTTTACCAATAGCTATTCAGCATCAATTACTCCTCCTTCCAAAGGAATACATACAGAATGTTCATCCTCTTATTTTTTTTAAATAAAAAATTTAAAAGGAGTTCACAAAAGGCGTTCTTACAGCTGTAGAAAGACCAAAAAAAACAAAAAGGTTGCCATGGCAAGCAGGATGTTAGAGACAGGAAGCACTAGATCCTGGACTACATTTCCCAGAATGCCCCTTAAGAGGCGGGGCAAGAATGAGTTGGTAGCGGCTGTTGGAAGACATTAACAGGAGAGTCTGAGCCTTGGGCAAAGGTTAGTTCAAGTCTGGCACTTCAAGGTAGGAGTGGGGATTGCCTTATGTTGCGTGTGATCTTTCATTATGGAATAGTGAGGAGGCGGCTCAGCTGTTCTTCGGTGCTGCCTGACACCCTTTTCGTCTGCTTAGGAATGAGGATTTACTCTAGGAAGTTGGAAGATACAAATTTATTTTTCATTTGTCTTTGGCAGCTGTCAACTTCTGGCTGTAACGGAGGGGATGTGGTTGGTGGATATGTCTTCGGAAGGTTCCCAAAGAGGGTTTAATAGTAGTAGTAGATTGTGCATTCTTGTGCACTGTGGGTAGGAAATAATTCATCCTGTACTTGGAAGGTGGATTTGCAGAGCTCATTTAAAGACCCCCTTGAAAGCTTTGTTGAGGATGGGGTCAGTGGCTGTACCCTAAATGGCTGAAATTAACTTTTGAGTTACCAATTTGGTGAAGGTAAGGGAATGAAATGAGGTTATTGTAAATGTCTGGAGAACTGTACTATTTGATGGCATGAGAGGAGAATGTCAGTATTGTGGAAGAGTTAGGCACTAGAGTTGTGGGATGTCAAGTTGTACTTTTGGATTAAGTCAAGGGCTTGGGGAACCAAAGCAGCAAAATGCAAACATCATGGGAACAGGGCATCTGATGGTCTTGTGAAGTGGAAAGCAACAGAGGACTAATCTACATCCCATTTGGTGCATTTCAGGACTTTCTCTCTAACAAACTTTTAAAACCATGTTTGTGTACAGCATGAGTAGCACTGCTAAAAAAAAGTTAATGGGTAGATGCTTCTTATTCAGTGTGTGTTATTAATGGTACTTCATCCATGATGGGGATTCCCAGAAACTGGAAGGTTATGTTCTAGTCACAGATGGAGATAGCAATCTTATGCCCATTCACCTTGAAATAGGCCCACTTAATTCCATTGGACTTATTTCTGGGTAGGTGTGCATGGAATTGCATTGTAAGACCATTATCCTCCCTTACCTGCTATATACATGTACTTGGCAGTCAGGCCATTTAAATCAGTGGATATACTTCCGAGTGAACATCCATAGGATTACCCTGTATAGCCTAAACTTACAAACCTTTAAGTACAATTATTTCAGGGGAAGCACCATTAACTTCAGTGGGGCTTAATTTCCATATGAACATGCACAAGACTCCAAAACATGGAACATGTTCTTGATATAAGACAAGATAAAAATGAGAGAAAGAAGAGTAGTGAATTCCTTTTCCATGAATCCTTTGACATGACCCCTTACATTCCTGTATGTGGCTGAAACAATCTCAGTTGTATTTACACTACTTTACTCTGACAATTGTTTTCATTACTGCTTTCCACTGTAAGCCCTTCAGGGCAGGGAGCTGTTCGCTTCTTCAGGTGTCATGTGAGCGGCTAATTCTATATGAATCAAGAATGATAATAGACAAGTTCCAGTGGATGGGATCACCCTGAGTTCATCTGAGTTTACAGTGTTATCTTAAATGTGTCTACTCAGATGGACAGGCTAGGGGCAGGAGAGAAAGATGTGTGTGCAAGACTGCAGCTTCCAATAGCGATCTTACCGTCCCTTACCTGTAAGGCCCTCAACAGAGCTTAGGGACCCGCTTCAGTCTGAGCCAGGGCATTAGCGCCTCCAGTCCAACATTGTTAGCGCTGATTGGCAGCAATGGCTTTCGAGGATTCCGGCAGAAGCCTTTCCCCCACAAGCTCCCAAAGCCAGCGACTCAGCCCGGGCCCTTGTGTGCTCTGCCACCGAGCCGCGGCCTTCCCAACGCCGCCCCTCAGCCTCACCGCGGCCGCACAAAAGCAAAGCAGGGGCTTCGCAGGGCACGTGTGCGGGGGGCGAGGGCGCTCCGGCGGCGCAGCTGATGGACTGCTTCGTGGTGGGTGCGATGAGGCCTTCCCCTGGCAGGCGGCTGAAGGGGCTGGGCCCTCGGGGAGCGCGGAACAGCGGGGGACGGGGAGGCTGGCACGGGGGAGCTGCCGGGCGGCGGGCCGAGACAGTTCCTGCTCCTGGCCGCAGAGGCGGGGGCCGGTAGAGACGGCCGGGGCTTCACGTTTCCTTCCTCCTTCTGGGCTCCCAGTATGTCTTGGGTTCGCTTCGCTGCAGGGGCCTCCTCGCGAAGCGGCGGCGACCGCGACCCTCTTCGGGCCCAGCTGAGGGAGGCGGAGGCGGGACATGGCGGAGACGGAGGGCGGCGGCGGCGCCTCGGTGCATGCGACGCGCTTTGAGGCGGCCGTGAAGGTGATTCAGAGTCTGCCGAAAAACGGTAAGTGAAGGAGGGAGCAGTGATGGGGGGGGGGGGGCAGACCGTGGAGGGCGAGGGCGTAAATTCAGGCTTCCCCCCCAAATGTGGCCCCCCTCTTGGAAAGGGTCGGCAGGGGAGAGACAGTAGATGCTTGAACCTGCGGGTCGTTTCTTTTCGGGGATAAAAATATGTATGTGCTATTTTCCTGGGAATTCTCTTCTTATTAACTCGAAAGTTTAACGAGATGTAAAGGAAAGGACCACTGCGTTAAAAATCAGGGAGGACCAAAACACAATGTGATAAATAAGAGCAACAAAAGCTTAAAAGGTAGCACATTCATTCTGGCACAGGATCTGTGGACACTTTCTCCAGTATTTTTTGACATCCAGAATATTTCTTTAGCATTTCCAGGCTATTTTTGTCTAGTGAGCCATATTTGTTTATTTGCTCAGATAGAAAGTTTAGACAAAGAAAATCCTACAACCCCAGCATTTCCTCGCCTGCATAAATAGAATTGCACACTTCAATGGTTAACATGCTGCTCTTCAGGTAGCTTCTTCTCAGAGTAGTTAATATAAAGTTTCAGTAAAAATAATAAAATGCAGGAATTAGCTATTGAAGCATAACATAAAACAGTAGCAGATGAACAGAAACATTAAAAAATAACTACATGTCTTGGGTAGAGGAAAAAGGGATTTTAACTTGTGCTGGAAAGACACCCTAAGAATCTCTGTAAAGTGTGTTCCGCAGTTGAGCTACCACAGTTAGGAAGCACCCATTGTGAGTCTTGCCTCCCATACCCCCTCCCATACCCCAAAAGGGCTTTGGAAGCAAATCTTAAGAGCTGGAGGATGTCACTTAAAATCCAGCAGTCTTTGCACTGCACTGTAGTAGTAAACAACATTGTGTTCAATGAGACTCACATCTAGTTATGTGTAATTATGATGGAACCTTACCAAAAACAGCAAAGAGGATTGTGTCATCTTAAAGACTAACCCATTTATTTATGGCATAGCCTTTCATGGATGAAAATCTACTTCATGAAGTGTTACCCAAAGCATCATATGAGGTATTGCCCTATTTTTTTCCCCTAGCACTACATTGTGGGTTCTAGTCCACAATTCTTTATGGTGATGCAAGGCTCTTGTCTTTGCTGAAATAGATTAACATGGGTATCTGCTGGAAATGGTTAGAGCCTTGGGACATTCCCGGACAAGACTTCTATGGCAGTGTGACTCTGCCTTATTCATGGACATTTACAGGGAACCAGATGTTACCATCTTCTACTTATGTGTGACCCACTTGTGTGTTCTTATTACTTCTTTGTATTTTTCTTTAATGCAGAACATCCATCAAGGAGAAAAAGACAGCTGTACAATTCCTTCTAATAATACTATAAGCCTTCTTTCTGGAGCATCGTAGATGCTCAGCCTTATTGATTGGTCCCTCTGTGATTGGAAGCCCCCATACTCAAATCCAGTCACCCAATGTAGGGTTCGAGGAATTTTCATGGTGATCTTTACTTCCCCAGCCTTCTTCCCTGCTGATTTCTCTTGACAAAGGGAAGAAGTCTGAGGATAAATGGTTTCTTAATCTCTTTGGGTTACTCCCACTCATCTACCAAAACGCAGCCTTTTCTCCTCCTCCTCTGAGGCCACTGTTCTGACTTTGGAAGAAAACTAATGTGGTTCTGTCCATGCTGTCTGTGAGGTGGCAGGGGAGGAGGAGTGGATTGCCAACTCCTCCTCCTGAAAGCCATCTACTGCCCCCAGCCTTAGAAGAGGGAATCCAAGCAATCCTATGGGAGAGCTGGGTTTGAGTCACCACTCAGGCATGAAGCTAACTGGGTGACTTTGAGCCAGTCACAAACTTTCAACCTAGCTCACCTCGTGCAGTAGTTCTTGTAAGGATAAAACGGAGAGAAGAACCTTGCAAGCCACCTTAAGTTTCTTTCAAGGAGGAGGAGGGCAGGGTATAAATGTAGTATTAGTGATGATGATGATATCCCTAGGATACTCACCCAGGGATTATAAGAGTAGTTTCCTAATTTTCTGTTCTATTTTCCCATCTCTTCAAAGCCCACCTAGATGTATGTTCAAGGCTCAATGGTCAAACACACTATCCACACCTAAAGGAGAAACATAAACAGCGTAGAGATGTCCTCTGTACTTTGGTAGCTTAGGTATCATTGGGATAGCCATGGAAGATAATGGTACATCTTATTATTATTAGTTTCCAATAGCCAGGTGCTGCACATGATGCAGTCAGTTTTCTGTCTATGCTGAGTTTATATAGATAGGATGTGTGTTTAAAAGTTATTTTCTCTTATGATATTTTCCACTCTAAAATTCTTTTTTGTAGGTTCATTCCAGCCAACAAACGAAATGATGCTCAAGTTTTATAGCTTCTATAAGCAAGCCACTCAAGGACCTTGTAACAGTCCAAGACCTGGATTTTGGGATCCTATTGGTAGATATAAATGGTAAATATACACAAGAGAAAAGGAGTGTTAAGCTGTAGTGTATTGACAGGCCTTCCTTAGGAGAGGAAGACAAACTTTACCTCTTTCTTTCAGTAGCAAAGAGTAGGACACATGCATTGCATCTCTATGGTCTAAGGTTCTATGCTTAGTCCATCTCAGGTCTGGGAAAGACTTCTGTCTGAAACTAGCCCTTTCCATCTTCATGCTGCTGGATATTTTGGATCACAGCTCCCAAATATGTGTGCTAATTCTGATTTTAAAAAGCAAACTGTCTGCAGTCAAAGTGCAGCAGGTAGCAACTACAAACACCGATCTAGAGAGGTGCCCAATAAGGTTATTTCCTTTGCTTTCCCTTGACAACTGTCATAATCATAATCTTTGCTCAGAAAGGGAGCAGGGGCAGTAAGTAGATCACATCATTCCCTGTGAAATTCTCTAATTGTTTGGGCTGGACATAATGTCTTGTGGCTTGTCCACTCTTTCCTGAGACTTTAGGTACTCAAGAAGGGAAAAGTACAGAGAGGAGTCAAGGCAGCTTTAGCCCGGAGAAAGACCAAAGAGGAGAAATCTGGGGGTAGCCTACAGCGAGCCCAGTCATCTGTCTAGCACATCATGAGTTGTTCTATAAAAAAACAATTCACTGTTTGTGAATCAAAGGATAACTTATTGTGACATGTGAACCTGTCCGATGAAAATATATTTATACTTAGAAATACAGTGGCACCTTAGCTCACAAACTTAATCCGTTCTAGGACTCTGGTCATGACCCAAATTGGTTGTGAGCCAAGTTAAATTTCCACATAAGGTTCAATGTAAATAAGGTTAATCCGTTCTGTAACCATTTTTTAAATCAGAAAAATATGAAGCAAAGTGACAACACCAAAGATCATGGCCATCTCCCCCCTCCCCAAGCACAAGTGCGGCCATCTCCCTGCCCCCCCAGCACGACCGAGATTGCGCCTGTCATCCCTGCAGACACCCGTCATCCCGACACGCTGGGGGGTGCGGGGGAGAGACGGGAGTGATCACAGGCGCATTCGGGGAGGGAGAGATGGCCATGATCGCAGTTCCATTCGTGCAGGGAAGGCGTGCCTGGTCAGAGGCGGAATCTCGGCCACCTCCCCCGCGGCTCTGCTTTGCTGTTCCTGAATTTTTTCAGAAATTTTTGTTCGTGACCCGATTTGTTCATGAACCAAGGTGTTCATGAGCCGAGGTATCACTGTACAGATTAATTGTGGCAGATTACTATCATACCTTAATATCAAGGGCATAATAAGAAAAATATTTATAGCATATCTGCCTATTTTTTGAGGTCTGCCTAAACCATTGGCAGAATGAGATGGCTGCCTCAGGCAGCAAATTTTAGGTGTCATGAAAGGGCAGAAAAATTTTAGTTGATTTAATATTTCTGCCAAGAACTGGGAGATATATTTGTGGGGCTTTCTGCCTCAAGTGCTGAAGTAATGGTCAGCTTTGAAGTTTGACTTGGGTGAATGGGCAGCCATTTTGGGCCAGACTTGCTAGCTTTGAAGTGTGTTAAGAATGTTTGTGATACTTATTGTAGGGATGCCTGGAGTGCATTAGGGGATATGCCCAAAGAAGATGCCATGATTGCCTATGTTGAAGAAATGAAAAAGGTAATATTGCTTAGTATATAGAAAACATTCTACACTAATTTTATTTATATGCTGCTGCATCCTGAAACTCAATTAACTGCTAGCTAAGCTACAGAAGGGATTTACATGAATTATTTGATGAACTTTACCTTAGGTATCCTAGCTGTCATAATGCTAAGAGCTTTATGGAAATTCCTGTTATGAAACAGAAGTGATTAATGCTAGTGCAGTGCATTATGAAAGTTTATGGGAAGCAGCCTGCAATGAATCTCTGGCACTGTACCTAATTCACAATGAAAGAGAAAAGTAAAGAAGCAGTAGTCACTGCAGTGTATGGTTTTAAAGTTGGTATCTGGGCTCAAACAGTTTATGGTCTCCTGGGTATTTGTTAGGAAAAATGTATTACCAGAGTACTAGGTGACTTGCAGTTGGAGCATGTGGAAAGTTAAATGCTAAGCAACAATATAAACATCTGGTATGATCCCTGTTTTGTTGTGTGTTTGTGTTTAAAACTTAACCAATTCTGTGTGGTCAGGATAAATAACAATAGTTTATACTAATTAGTGATCAAAATTGACCTACTGATACTCTGTTAAATTCATAAAATACTAATCCATTATAAAGTCAGAATTCTGACTTCCCTGGAGTTTTAATTGTTGATAAGCTATTAAGAGTAAACACTTGTCCTGTTTAAAGTATTTACGTTGTTTATTATTTAAAGTATTTTAATCCCACTTCTCAGCCAAAAAGGCTCCCAGGGATATTTGTATATCTTAAGTAAAACAGGACAGTCCCTCCTCACAAGTTTACAATCTAAAGACCCAGCACAAAAGAAAAAAAAAAGAATGGAAAAAGAAGACAGAAAAAAAGTGAATCTCCCAGATGGTATGGCTCTCCTTCCTCCTTTCATCTATTTTGGTGCAGCCTTCTTGAATGGCTGCTGCCTGTGACGGAGGAGGAGGAGTCTTCATGGAGTGGATCTTCTGCTGAGCTTGTGAAAATAAAGCCTAAATAAATTAAGGCTTTCATTCTGGTTCTGACTCAAGCTTCTCCACAGAATCTCTGCTAAAACATTGAAGACAGAACTTGGAATGCTTTTTAAGCTGTTGTGTAATTCTAATTAATTTCAGCAAGGCTTACATTGAGTGGTGAAAAGTACCGAGCATATTATGCAATTTACATTCAATTTTGACATTCAGTTGAGTAGTATTTTCAAGTACAAACTGTAAAGATAAAAATAAAATAATGATAATGATAATGGTGTGCTTTCTGATATGTCACATCTGATTATATCTCCATATCTCTTGCAATACCATTCACATGCTTTGGGTGATCCATGGGTGCATGGCACAGTTACATGTGGCTAACAGTTGCTTTTGGTATGACTTGCAAAATGGAATTCTAATCTTGATCAGGATCATTGGGGTTGCATGAGGGACTTTAACCTTGCTTCCTCGTGATTTCTGGAGGCAATCAGTAGTGCTAATTTGTAGTTGGTGGGCTCTCTATCTCAGCTTATAATCAAAGGCACTGCTTATTCTTCTCAACATGAAATTAATAGAAAAGATATTGTAATTATTTAATGCATTGAGGCTTACCAAAAGTTTGTCCAGTGCTAATTTAGCTTTGGTAATTGCATGCTCCAATAATACTTGTATAAAAGAAATCTCTGTGTAATCCACCCAGTAAGGATCTAATCCTACGTAGGTTTAGACATGCTGGCTGGGAAATGCTAGGAGTTGTAGGACTTCTTTTCTCTCTAAACCTATATAGGATTGCATGCTTAACATATTAAATGTTCTCCAAATTATTGTTGCTACACCATCTTAGCTAATATTTTCTTTTCTAAAAGTATATGTAGAGAGTTTGGGGGCAGGACTCCTGCTGTACACACAGAAAATTCCAAGTTCAATGTTTGCCATCTCCTGATAATGCTGGAAAAAATCCCGCCTGAAATCCTGGAGAACCACTGCTGCCAGCCTAAGTTGATATTACTGGGCTACTGGACCAAGGGGCTGACTCAGTAGAAGGAAGCTTTGTCTTCCATCTTTCTTGGCATAGATTTAACTATAGCGCTGTCTCTTTACCATGCATTACTTTACTGCATGGTAAAAACAGTATGGAATCCCACAAGAGAGAATGTCAGAAGACTATTTGCTGAGGAGTTTATCTAGCTTCTCCATATTCCCTGTACTGTTTATTTTTATGCATCTGACAAATTCAACTCTTTTTTCAAATGGAATGCCAACTGGTTATGCTAGTTAAAGGCTCTAACATTTACTTGATAGTTCCTTTTGTTTGTAACAAAAGTGGTGGAATTTGATTCCTGACAACTTCTTTTGATTCACATTCTGAGCAGAATTGCTTGGAAGCAAGTCCTTTAAAATTAGCAAGTCTTGTTTAATAATATGCAGGGATAGGATCTGATCTTAATGTGAACCTCTGCATGACTCCTCAGAAGCTCTACTGTGTTCAGTGGACTTTACACCTAGTTAGGTTGGATTTGGATAGGTCCATTGCCAAACAGAGATATCACAAGATACATGGAGTTCTCCTGTAGTGATAATGCATAAAGGAAATTAAAATGTATAAAAATGTGTGTGCTTTAGTATTTCTGCAGTTCTGATTTAAGATTTAATTCCTTCGGTTATAACACAGGAAGAACACAATATTTAATTTGGAGAAAAAGTTGAACTATATCCGATCATAAAATATTTGATTTTGCAGTTGAGGACTGTAGAGTGCAGTGTCGAAGATAATTTTTGTCCTGTTGTGTGCATATGTAAGTATTGCACTGGCTGTTGAACTAGCCAAATGATACAGTGTTCATAAACATTTTGTATTCCTACAGATTCTTGAAACAATGCCAATGACAGACAAGGTTGAAGAACTGCTTCATGTATTAGGCCCATTCTATGAAATTGTAGAAGATAAAAAACGCGGAGGATCTGGTATAATAACAGGTTGGTTTATAAAATGCCTACATATCCACTATTTTATTAGCTAGGATTACATTAAACCAGACTTGGGCATTGTACAGCCCGCGGGCCACATCCGGCCCGATGGCTGACCCTGACTGGCCCGCATGAGGTCACTGGCATATTAAAAGTCAATGCAAATCTATAATAAAGATATAAATAATAAAGATGCAAGCAATACAACTGTGCTGCTTTTATTTTGAAGGATCTGCTCAATTGAATTGAATTTATTGCTTTTCATGTAATATTAATGTTTTTGTGACTATTCATTAAATAGTGTTGTTCTGTGCTCCACATTTTCATTGTATCATTGTAATGTTTCATTTACTGTTTTTATAGAGATATATATTGAGCAGAGCTGTAAGTGTATTGGTCCGGCCCTTAACAACTGTCAAAGTTTCTCATGTGGCCCCATAGGAAAATTAATTGCCCACCCCTGCATTAAACTATACTTGATGTCATTTGTTTGGATTTTATTAACAATAACATTAAGGTTAAATGTAACATTTCTTGCTAATGCTGCAATCCTCTACGTATCAACCTAGGCATATTCTGCATTAAATACAATGGGGTTCATTTTTAAGTAGACATATGCAGGATTGTACTGTACATATCTAAAAGCCAGAACTAATAGATCTTTTGTGCAACTATATATCATTCCTTTGACCAGGCATATGGTGGTAGTGCCTCAGGTAGTAGTGGAACACTCCTATAATTAACACTTATTTCTTAGAGGGAAAATAATAACAATAAAAAAGATGTTTATATGAATTAGAATATATTATAATCCAAGTTCTAGTACTTAACAGGTAAAGACAGCTATTTAACTCCTATGTGTAGAAACAAACAACATAAGAAAGCAATCTCCTGGGTAGTGTGCTATTAATTTTTTCCTTCCCTATGTCAAATGTTGTATATTTAAGTTTGGGAGTTTTATTCCCTTTTCCCAATTTCCCTTCTGTTTTATTTCTCGGGAAAAATATCTATTGTGTTTGGCAGAGATGAATCTCTTCCCTATAGTTTACTAGAGTGGAGAATCTTTAGTGTTCTAAATGTTGGATTACAACTCCCATCATCCCTAAGATTAGCTATGTGGACTGGGAGTTCGAGTATAATAGCATTTGGATGGCTGAAGTTACCATCCCTGTTTGATCTTTACATATTAAAGTTAATTTGTTTATTAAATGTGTATCCCAGAGCACTCATGTGTATCATGAAGGAATATTTAACTATGTATCAAACTCAGGAGCACTAAGATGGTATATATTTATTTCACCATATACATGATGGAACCTAAACGTATGTATCTATTTTGAATTATTTTGAAAAGACACATTAGTGTACCTTTCTAGTGGTGCTTTCTAGTGATGACTTCTAACTGTAGTTATGTTGTTCCTCTTTTAAATGCTTACATGAACATTAATTACTGGTTTGTGGTACCTGAGAACTTCGGAAGTATTTAGCCCAGAAATCTTACTGTGCTTAGAGATCTATGTTAATGTTCTCAGTTGAAACAAATTATTATTGTAATAGGTTGATTTTGGACTTTGGCTTTATGTTGGTAATTGATAGAACTGCATGGAGGCTATTCATTCTTATCACACCATATTTCTGAAAAGGAGAGAAAAGGAGTCTAAATGAAAGAAATACTAAGCACTAAAGTGCCTACTAGAGGAAGAAAGACAATTCTTTTGTGGAGTCAATGCTGCTAGGAAAAAGGCTAGACCTGTTTGCGTTGGCCATTTTAGTAATGATAGTGAGCATGTCTCTGCTAAATGAGGGCTTTCCTCAGTGATGCATAAAGTTGAGGGGTGGGTCTGACTTATTAAACAAAAGGGGCACATGGATGAGAGACACAAAAAAAGCAAGCTGTGTACACAGAAAGGATTCTTGTCTACTCCCTTATATATTCCTGTTGTTCTTTAACTCGGATTATCTCTTCAGATTATCTATACTTAATATGTAAACAGGGAAGAGTGCAATTTAAAGGGACAGGTTTTATTTTATATTGTTAATTTGTTTTATATTTTGAATGTATTTTAATTTATGTTGTGAGCCGCCCCGAGGCTTCGGCGAATGGGGCAGCATAGAAATGTTTTAAATAAATATTAAATATTAAATTTAGTTCAGCCCTAAAAGCCACCTGACAGTTCGGGGAGTGAAGCACTACTTAACCTGGAAAGAAAGCTAAAAGCCAGGGTCAGGCAGCAACAAAAATACCAAAAATTGTATGGATGTGGTAGAGTGGAAATTGCATAGGCACAATCCGGCAGCTGCTGATGACAGTTGCAAAACTACTATTTAACTACGTTGGAAAGTGAGTGTTGTGACCTTGCAAGAGGTCTTTCTGACCATAAAAGAGTCCCTATTGCTCAAAAAGGCGTGTGTTGCGGGGTGGGTTACAGAGCTTTTCCTGCTTGTCATGGGGAAGATAATTTAAATTGGAATGAATTCTTGCTAATGGGCATCAGTACATTTTAAAGATGCACACAGCTCTTCTACTCCCAATGAAAGCTCAATATCTTGTCTCAGAATATTTTTATAAACCTAAACTTTTAATGAAAAGTTAATAGTCCCACAAGGGCCCAGGAAATGTGCTGAAATTCAAAGCTTCTTAATGCTTACTGCCTGAACTTAATTCAATAGAAAAGCTCGATTTGTTTACCATGTTAAAATCTTCAAAGGGCTCTTAGCCCAAACTGGTTGTACCAGTGTGCTCATGTAGTTCAGAAGTATGAAATCTGATTCAGTATGCTTTTTTGGATTAAAATCTTGAAGTTCTAAAAACTGAAGCATCTATGCAAGTGGTTGATGAGAGGAATTTAGAAGATTTTTCTGGTAAATATTCTGCAAAACTTGATTATACAAACACTTATTATCAAAGCAAAGGAATACAAACTTTTTTTCAAGCATAAACCCACTATATCAGTAGCTGACCAAAATATTATTTTCTGGTACACAAAAACATTAGAAGAAAAAAAAAGATGATGACGACCACATCCATGCTGAGTGGTCCAGTGAAAAGTGCTTGGGTAGTATAGGAATGGCACGGAGTTGGTTGGATATGCCAAATATTCATTGTATTGATACGCTGTTTTCAGCATTTGTAAACCACCCAGAGAACCTTTGAGTTATGGGATAGCACATAAGTGGAAATAAATAAATAAAATCCAGAACAAGAAGCTGTGTCTTCCAACAGGATGAACTTGGAAGAAGCATGTGGACCATTCCCAGCATTTGCTGGATCATGTAGGACTTGGCAACTTTTTGTTTCAACCGTTCAGAGCTTTGAAAGGAAAAAAATCTGATTAAAGGTTTTATCTGACAAATTTCCCCATTGTCCTAAACTGAATAACTCATTATTCCATTGGAAGATGGAGTGAAGGTCTTCAACAAACATTGCTAAACTGTGATGGGTTTTCCCTGCAATCAATTTCAACAGCACTGAGGAAAAGAAAATAAAGATTAACATGGACTATGGACTGGTAGTGCTGTGTGCCAGTTTCCTGAGGGGGAGAAGGAAAGCAATTATATGGTTTTCACAGAAATAAAAAAAATAAATGGACACAGATCACTAGATATCAGATGTCAAATAAATGGACATCAGAAATGGCAATCATCTGAATGGAGCAGGAAAACACTTCAGCTTTCTAGGATGCTCTTTCACAGATCTTCAAGTTGTTATTATGGAACAAATAAAAGAGCTTAGATTGACAGTCTGGAATTACAGTTCATCAGCAGATTTAATAGCCATGAGAAGATAACAGATTTTCATCAGACCACACAACTGGTCTATCTGCACTGTAAATGAACACTGTTAATAAGGTGATGTCACCATCATACTTTCTGCCTTGTTTCTCCTTCCAGCCTCACCACATACTATTCTCCACCCACCCACCCACCCACCCACACCATGCACTGTACAAAAAATACTTGACATTCTCTACAATGTTGCATGGATATGATGAGGTGAACTATACTACACAAAACTTCATGCCAAAATAAATGTTAGTCTTAAAGATTAAAGATTAACCATAAGATTCTTTGCTAATTATATTGTCACTTGGCTGACTACGCTGAACCAAGTGGGATTTTTAAAGTTTATTGAACCAAGTGCATTTAACCTGTTTTTCTAAAACAGCAGTGCTTCTCACTCAACTTGATGCATGACAAACTGCATGAAATCCAGCTGTTCAGAGGGCAAGCGAGCAAACAGGTTCTTGTGTAAATCTGAGGAGCATTTTGAATTCTGACCATGCCTAAAAAATCAATGTATGCACCTAGAAACTGTTTCTTTCTTCACTTAACTTGTTGCAAAATATATACACATACACTTCCGTATATAAACTGTTTCTTTCCTGTTTCAAATAACATCATGTACCACCAAAGCTTGTACTTGGAAGCTTGACATGGATGTTTAATTCTTGTTTAATTCTTGCTGTTGAATCTAGTATATTTTAAGGAACATCACATTTTCTCTCCTCTTGAATAGTTCTGTGTGCTTTAATATTCAAAGGTACAGTCCTAGGTAAGTTTAGCTCCCATCCATTTGAATAGGTTGCACCCTAAGTCACCTTTCGACACCACCAGGGTGGGTTCTCTTTTGCTGGGAATTAGTCCAGTCTTCTAGCACTAGTGCACTTTTAGTAACATAATTAGACAAATCAGACTGTGGACAAAGTAAACCATTATTTGGATATGTGTTTCATCACTTAAGAGAAGACAACACATTTATTTTACTGTTCAATAGACTGATAAACTGCTTGCCACAAATAAGATATGTGTGTGGTTTCCAAAGGGTTAGGATTAGGGTTTATAAAGCAAAGATTAAGCTATGCCACAATAAATACAAAAATGTTGATATAAAACGTATTAAAACCAAATATGCAGAACAGATTGGGCAGCACAATCAAGGAATGCCAGAGTAAAGAGTTTGGGCTTCAACTAATGCCTACAACACACCACAGATGAGATGGCCTGATTAGCAACAGAGGAGCATTTCACAATATTGGTGCCATCACAAAGAAGCCCTCCTCCTGAGTTACTGCAGAATGGCAATCTGATAATACAACCAGAAAGATAATCTCTTGTTAATGAGAGACAGGTCTATACAAGGGAAGATGATCTGTCAGATGACCTGGTCCCAAGCTGTTTAATGCTCTTGTAACCTCTTGTTTAGATTACTGCAATGTGCTGTATGTGGGACTGCCTTTGAAAATGGTCCAAAAAATTAACTGATCCAAAATAGGGCACCAAGACTATTAATGGAAATTGGCTCATGGTCCAGGCCTGATTCACAGTCTAGTACTAACTTTTAAAGCTCTAAACAGCTTGGGGCCAGGTTATCTGAAGGATTGCCTCCCATAAGTACTTACCTGGGACCTGATGTCAACTTCAGGGGTCCTTCTCTGGATCCCCTTCCAAATGAAGTGAGGTGGGTCCCAGTTTTGGAATACGCTCCCCAACCTGGCACCTACTTAGTATACTTTTTGGCAGCAGCAGAAGACTTTATTTTATTTTGATAGTTTAACTTTTTACATTTGTTTTTATATATTCCATTTCATTCTGTACCTCTGCCATGCCTTTATGCTGAATCATAGCAATTTGTTTTTAATTTTTTTAAATTAATGTGTACTTCTCTTTTATGTTTGTTTAATTTTAGCTTTTGTTAACTACCCAGAAAGCCTTGGCTAATGGGCAGTATAAAAATAGAATGCATGAATTAATGTTAACAGCAAGACCTTGAACTCAGCCTTGTTAATAGCCAATTCAGTTGTTTTAATGCTCAATGGATAATTGCTAGGAAGCCAAAACATAGTCACCCATATAACTTTCTGAACTGGCTCCATAAGTTAGAGCAGAACCATTGTAGAAGACTCTCACCTGCAGAGATTATTCTGAAATATAGTGCGGTTTGTGAAAGAATTTTAAGGACACTGCTGAAAATTTCAGTATAGACTGGAAATCTATGCTAATAAAAGCCTTGAAAGACTTTTGCATATCATGTTATTGGTGGTCCAGTAAATAAAATTGCTTATATTAAACATATTTAGGGAATTATATGGGGGAAGCTTACCTGGCTAGGGAGCTACTCTTTGCTCTGGAATGGTTTTGTTAGTGAAACAAATTTTCCCGCTTGGCACTGTAATCTGTTTTGTTGTGAAACAGATCCAACTGGGTGAAGGTTCCTGGAATTTGCTGCTCCACCCTTTATCTCACACAGTTCTTTGTGGTTTTGATTAACAGATTATTTTGCAGCAAGTCATTAGCAAAACATGTTAATGAGGCTTTGTGGAATTTGAATGTAAAGATTGGCATTGCAAAGGTACAAATTACTACAGACCACCGATCTCTTAATTTCCCTGTGTTTTGTTTAGTATTCATGAACAGACAAATCCTAATAACGTTCACTATTTTGTATGCTGTGTTCTCATCTGTGGTTATGGTACTTAATGTTGTTTGGGCAAGCAAAAGGAACTTCCAGCAGTTCAGTTGGATTTCCTGCCGATTGTTAGAATAGCTGATTGCACACTGAAATAAATGTTCATTTTAACGAAAGGTCAGTTTAAGTTATAACAACCAGTGTTGTTCTCCTTGTATCTGCAGCCTTATACTCGTGGAAATATTTAATTGCTCATTGGTAGAAATATAATTATTATAAAAGTTGAACATCTTTTTACTATTCTTGTATAATAGAGTTGTCTTTCCATTTTATTTGAAAACTTGCCTTTTCACATATATTATGCTATTACTAAAAAGAGCTCTCGAAGCCATGCAGAATTATGGTATCTAGATAAAATATGACTCATGCCTAGTGAGTTTAACAGTTTGATGACTAGTACTTTGAACTCTGCACTTTTAGCAAAGCAATAATGTGCCTAACCAGCCAACACACCCCCCCCCACACACACACACACACCCTTTTTGGCTATGAGAAGGATAATGTTCAGTTACAGGTGCCAGAGCAGGGAAAGTAAGCTTTAAATTAAAGTAAATTTTAAAATACTTTCATGTGGACAAAACAGAGGGAAGGGGAATCATTTTAATCCACCAAAATAAAAATCCAGTTTCTCTCATAACGGTTATTTTTCTCAAAACTTATTAGACCCTGGAAATGCCATAACTTCTGTGCCAGCCCTGAATGGCAAATCCGAAAGCAGTGACAGTGGAGCAGAATCTGAGGAAGAGCCACACCAGGAGGAAGAAATGGAATTGCAGCAGATTGTAAAAGGTACCTATTTCTGAATCACATCCCCCCCAGCCCGCTTTTTTTCTTCTAGTAATTGTGTATACTATCCACTGCAGCAATAGGCCCTTTTCCTGGGGTACTTAAAACACTTGTTTTCTTATATGGTACAATGTGGGTTGGTATTTAAAATTGATAACATTAAGGAAACAACCTATAATTTTTCTTTAAAATTTTTTACTTTAAAAACCTACAGTATTTGTTTATTTATTGAACTAAATATAAAACTTATTTTTGTACAAATAAAAAACCCACATTTATAACACACACACACACATGTATATTTAAAATCTGTCTTCTTACGATTTTACAGAAAGTGGAACTGTGGAACTCAGTTCAAACACTAATAAAGAATTGGACAATGTTGTTGCCAATGGATGTTGTGAAGATGTGTCTAATAATATGCACAATAGCATACAGACTAAATCTGCTCTGAATGGGTTAAATGTGGATGATGAGATAAAGAAGAGAGACAAACCTCTTGAACTGCCCATTGCAACTAATTTAGGGTCTTCTTGCCAAGGTAGTATCCTTATTATCTAAATTTCCCTAAATGTTTGTCAGGAGGAATATTCTTTCAGCAATGGTTACACAGGATTTTTACTGTTTGGCTTATAAAGACCATTTAAACATTTTTTTGCAGAAGACTGAAGATTTCAAGTTACTTTTCTCTGTATAATACTGTTTTCTTTGTTTATATTACATTTTATATAATATACCTTGGTCCATATGCGCACTGTGCCTTTATGCAGTGGGAAAAAGCAAACATGTTCTCCATGCATGTAGTGGTACCAAATATAACAGAGTCTTGTGCCACCTTACAGTTTAATATTTATTTTGGCACAAGCTTTTATAGGCTACTGCTCATTTCATCTGATGGATGGAGTGTAATAGAAAATTCCAGGTTTATGTACAGAACTTGCGGTGGTTGGAGAGCTCTAAACAGTGATGTTAGTTCTCCCTCCTCCTTGTGCTGTATGTAGGGTATATAAACCTGGTATATATACATGGTCTGACACTCCATGCATTTAATGAAGTAGGCCATTGTCCACAAAAACTTTATGCCAGAATGAATGTGTTCCTTTTTAAGATGTGTGTGTGTGTAGGGTTGGGTGTTTCACTGGAAAGAATGTGAAGAACATTATGTATGTGCTTGAAATTGGTGATGTAAATCAAGGGTATGTAATGTATCTATAAAGTAACCCGGTAATGGTCATAAGGACATGATGTGAGTTTGGGAAGAGTGATTTCAGGATAAGATAGGCAATTGTTCTTCTGCATTAAGAAAGGTGCATGCTTTGTTACTATCCTAAGTTTCTTAAGGTGTCATCCTATTGGGAAAGTTAGTCCCAACACCAGGAACTTCTCCAAGCTGGGACTCTGATCTCAGAGTACATTCTGTCTGCTCTTATAGCTGCTGTGGTTCTTTTCCAATGGCAGCTGATCCAAAGTCAGAAGACCAACCTCAGACATGGAGGTTTGTGGGTAATCATTAGGGAAGGAATGAGACTTTGCCATGAAATGATGTATCCAGGTGGTACCTCAACTTCTGCTACTCCTACACCAGAGTCAAAACTTAGCCAAAATCAGCCATCTACATCTTTTGCAGGCTAAGTGGAACATGGAGGTGATATTTGACTCTGTGCTTCTTCTAACCTCAATTGGATGTCTGTAACCCTTGAAGAACAGGATATTATGGGCTTCCAATTGCATTGTGCACCAAGTTAATGGTTTTAAATTTAAAGCCTGATCAAGTATTCTGTTCTTATTCTATGATAACATATTGCTGACATTTTAGTACTGAGTTGCTACTCTATTCTTGCACTTACTACTGGATCATGTGCCTGTATGCACAGGTGTAACTGAAGATACTACTGAGGAGGTTTATGGAATTCAGCACCTGACAAGTGATTCAGATAGTGAAATATACTGTGATTCTATGGAACAGTTTGGACAAGAAGAGGTAAAGTTTGGTACTGTATAGCAGAAAAGTAATATGATGACCAGAATCTGAAGAGAAATTAAATTAGTTCGGAAAACTGACAAGGCATTTAGGCTTGTTTTCTTGAACAACAACCATCCATGCTGTGTTACAGACTGATGAAATTAGTTTCAAGAGTAGTTTTTGATATAGCATACTGTTCAAAGCCAAAAATTCCGGTAGATTATAACAAACCTTTTATCTGAGAAGCATAAGCCTGATTAAAAGAGGAGGATGATTAAGAAATAACAGGAATGTACATCCAGTACAAAGTTTCCAGCTTTCAAGGATAGGCTGGACATGCACATGGTAGACATGTCATGAGCGGAGCTGGCCAAAGCCGGGGGTCAGACTAGATGGCCTGGGAGACCCCTTCTGACTCGCTCTGTTTCTGTTTCTAAGAGCATACTAAATGTGTTGTTAAATACATGTTTGCATTTATCATGTGTTTTACAAAATGCAATAGTTGTTCCAGGAGCATATGATATCTATCACAATTGTACTGGGTAGGAGGAAATTGTAATTGTGAAAGGTTTTACATACCTTGGCTTAGTTGTCACTTCAAAGGGAGACTGCAGCCAAGAAATTAGAAGAAAACTGAGACTTGGAAGGGCAGCAATAAAGGAAGTAGAAAAAATAATCAAGTGTAGGATGTTGCACTGAAGGCTGAGGCCAAGATCCACACATGTATTCCTGATTACTATGTATGGATGTGAAAACTGGATAGTGAAGAAAGTTGTCAAGAAGAAAATTGATGCTTTTGAGATATGGTGCTGTTTCAAATACTCTGGACTGACAGAAAGACAAATAAGTGGGTCCTAGATCAAATCCACTCAGAGAATTCCCTAGAAGCAAAAATGACAAAACTGAGGTTCTTATGCCTTAGGCACATCATGAGAAGGCAAAGTTCCTGGAGAAGACAATCATGCCAGGAAAAGTGGAAGGCAGAAGAAGAAAAGGAAAACCAAGTATGAGATAGATTGACTCCATAAAGGAAGATAGAGCCTTGAACTTGGAAGAGCTGAGTAGGGCCGTCATGAAGGGCCTTCATTCTGGAGGGCTTTCATGCACAGGGTTGCCATAACTCAGAGACGATTTGACAGCACATAACAACAGCAAAGGATGGGGAAGTTAAATTTTCTTCCCCTTCTGTGTTCTGGATAAAAACATTCTTTTGGGGCTGTTACTTGTTTTAAAAGGAAAATCTTCAGTGGCTGCTATTTAATTTTTTCAAAATGTGTATTAAATGCAAGGATACATATCCTATAGGCTATATACTAGACAGCATAGCTGGGGGAACTGCTTTTTGTTAGAAACCATTTTAGCCCAAAATAAAATAGATGTTTTTATTAACTTGTAGATGTTGGAAATCAGTACATCAACCAAAGAATTTTCAAAACATCCATTCCATTTTTCTGAAGTAGATCAAAGTCGACTGCTAAAAACTTTGGAAATCGAAAACTACAAGACAGAAGGTATAAAGGAGGCTACAGTTGAAGGAAAAGGTGAAGTCAAGTGTGGTGGGGAAGATGGCAAGGCAAGTGATGGAGGACCTCACAAAGAAAAAAAAGGTGGTGAAAAGGTGGACTTCTATGGAATCAGAAGAGGGAGAGGTACTGCTGGAATATTTGCTCCGCTACATCATCTTCTGTAGATTGAAGCAAGTCTAATGTCATTCTTACATTTTCTGCTAACTAATGGAATTCTGGACTTGTAGTGTATTTTATATATAACTCGTGGCTTATTTCTAAAGGGATTTTCTTTTCCTTAACGTAGGACACAGAATGCACCCTGTGGGTGATGGTGCCCAGGGTGGACAGATGGGCAGCGGAGGAGATGGTGAACGATGGGGTTCAGACAGAGGACCAAGGGGCAGCTTCAATGAACAAATCGCAGTAGTTCTTATACGCTTACAAGAAGACATGCAAAATATTCTTCAGAGGCTACACGCACTGGAGACACTGACAACTTCACAGGTAAAACTTGCTAGATTGGTACCGTAGAAAAGGGAGGCACCATAGCTCAATGGTAGAGGACATTTTTTCCATGAAGAAGGTCCCAGATTCAGTCCCTTACATCTCCTGGTAGGGCTGGGAAAGAAAGCTGCCTAAGAGAATAATTGCTGTCAGTGTAGATAATGCTGAACTATATGGAACAGTAGTAACTCAGTACAAGGCAGTGCCCTATATCATATCTTAATGTTTCTATTTATTTCAAGCAGTTTGTTTAGATGGAATGCTTAATGGAGAAAATTCTTTCCAGGTGTTGAAAAATCTTCTTTTATATGCATATAAGATAGTTTTTTTGAAATATATTTAAACAGCTTAGTTTTAAGCTGTTGGAATTAAAGTTTACTTAAAACCCTGAATCAAGGATACATTGAATGCATTGTTTTGAAAAGAAAATAGCCTTAGTGTAGGATAAAAGTCGGGGTTGAAAATTGCACAGGTGTCTGTTTTGTCACAGCTAGAGATGTTTGCAGGACCCACATCTATTAGGAATTGAACATAGAATATAGTTTCTGGGAATGGCATAAAATAATTATTATGGAGAGGTGTGAAGAAGTACAAGAAAAAGAAGAATAGATAGCAGACACTGCGCACATTCGTAGCTCCAAGATAAAATCTTGCAAGACATGTAAATAACCATGTTACACTCTTAACACAAGATAATATGAAGCTACGAGTATAAATTTGAAGATCCCATGTGGTAGTTTGTGAAATTTATTTTGCATTTACAGGCAAGAATTGCAAGCCTACACTCAAATAATCAGCCTGCCTCATCTGTTAAGGTAAGATTTATCTACTTGTAAGTCAACAAAAGAATAGTTTAGACATTTATGGTGGGCTTTGCAGATTGACTTTCCATGAGCTGTAAAGGTTAGAGTAGACCTTTTCATAGCATCCTAAGAAAATGGAAAAGCAGCATTGGAACTGCCACTTGTATCATGAAGTAGCTTAGATTAACAAAGTATGCATTCACTAATTGCCCTGGTTAATCTAAATTATTCTATTTAAGTGTTAAAAAACATAATTAAACCACCAGCTAACATGAATGAAATGTTAGAGTGCTATGCTGACTCCCACTAGTTTAACTAAATGGTAGCTGAAAGTATAAAGAAATTTTCAGTATATTCACTGGAGTTTACTTCCAGGTAGGTATGCATAGGATTGCTGCCTTTAAATATTTCTGTTTTCAAGATTGCAGAATAAGGGAATTTCCATGTTCTGGAACAGCCCAGTGAGAAAATACTATTCTATATAACATTGGTGTTGTAGTTTTTATGTGAAAATAATATTGTTAACAAAGCCCTGAAAAATTACAATGAAGCACAGAGGAACATACATTTAAGAACTGTTGAACCTCCTTAGAACCACGACGAGATCTGAACAATCCACAATATCTCAATTATCTATAGTACCAATGTATAATCCTTGATAACCCTCTATCTCTGCAGACAAGCCAACATTTTCTATGAGAGGAACATTTATTGTGACTTTTGTGTGTCGTTTAGAGACCAACCTGGTGGCCCTTTGAGATTTCTCCTGGTACTTTAGCTTTTGCTGTTTTATGGCCCTTCGTTGCCCAGTGGCTGATGCATGTATACCTTCAAAGAAGGAGAAGGTAAGGATTATGAGTGTGCAGTTATGTATGTTTACTTTTGAACTTGATAGGCATTTTAGTCTACACCCTAAATCAGAAAATGAAAGCAAAATATTGAGATTACATCTGTAGGTAAAGGAGGTGAAATGGCCACAGCTCAATGGCAGAGCACGTGCTTTGCATGCAAAATGTCCCTTATTCAAGCCCTGAAATCTCCTGTCCGAAACCCTAAGGAGTCACTGCCAATCAGTATGGACAGAACTGAGCAAGATGGACCAAATAGCTGACTTGTACCTATAACAGAAAGAGCATTATGGCTGCTGCATTCCACAGATCAAAAGTGCCTGCAGAATGATAGGTAATACCAATATGCAACCTCTGTGAGGCTGCAATGGCACATTGTTTTATTTCTGTACTGACTAATAGCTGAAGCTGACTGGATAGTTTACAACAGCACATAAAATCAAATACAAATACAATATAAAATACAAATAATAGCAAAACATTATAAAACTATGCTACAAAAATTTAAAAGCAGATTTTAAAGTGAATTTAACAACTACAGTAATTAACACAAATTTAGGACATAAGACCTGACATAATGCCCCAATGTACTATATAGGGAGGATTAAATGGTCTATCAAAAGAGCACCATTTTAACTTGGCACCAAAAGGATGTTAAAGTTGGTATCAGGTGGGCCTTTGTGGGGAGCTTGTTCCAAAATCAGGGGGCCTGCCACTGAGAAGGTTGTCTTCTTGCTGTCACCTATCAAGCCTCCTTGATCTTGATCATAGTGTCTTAGAATATTGTGACTTGGAGAGGAATTCCATCAAATATTATAGTCTCAAGCTGTTTTATAAGTTAAATCAGAGAGAGAGAGAGAGTCAGTGTAGTTCAGTGCTGCTTTTTTGTCATAAAAAGTTTTTGTGATTAAAAAAATAGAAGGCTCCACAAAACTGTTCTATTTAACCATTGACATTGATATTAAAATGTTTTGGCTTGGCCTGTTGGAGGAGGTGGAATACAATAGAGCTTAGAAGCCCCTGATGTACAGTATGTTGAGTATTTGGATGCTTCAACAAGGGATTGTGCTTAATAAACTTTTAGAATAACCTTATTATTTCAACATTAAAATTCATAAAGTGAAGCATTAAATGGCACTCTCCTGAGGTAATAGCTAATTTTGAATTTTATTTGTGCTTTTCAAAATTCAGAGAACTGCAAGAATATTATGAAATGAATAAAGAGGTGGAGATGTGGAAGAGCAGAGCAAGGCACCATCCTCCTCAGAGTAATCCTAGTGGTGCTTCAGCCTTTCTTCCTTGTGAGGAAGGAAAAACAATTTAATGACCAGAATTAGTTGTCTAAATCTTTTGGAGGCAATTCTTGCTTCTGTGTTCCTCCCACTTTCCATTGGATGCCCATAATCCTCCAGGTTCAGTGTATTGCAGACAGCCATGATGGATGGCACCCTAATTCAATTTTGTTGTTCAGGAGTAAACTGAGTTAAGTTGATAAAATGTCTGTTTATTTTTTCCAGAAAACAGATCTGAAGGTTCAATTTCAGATTTTACATAAAGACTGCTAATTTGGAGATATTCTGGAAAGTGAAATAATACCCACAAGAACTGCAGGCTCTGGGATGTCTAAATCTTCTTTCTGGTTTTTGTTTTGCTATCTTCCTTTTGCACTACTGAAAATAACATACTTGAATTAACTATCTCTCTCAATAAACTAAGACCTAGGTGTCCTAGTACTCTAGAATAAATACAACTATCCCATTGAGTAATCACATGAAATTGTTTCAGAATGTACTTTTGATGAAGTCTATAGAGTTAAAAGGGTCTTATTGCAAGTCTGAGATACTCATTCTATCTTTGGAGAAAGGAAAGGGTTCCTTGAATGAATGTAAAATAATATGTAAATTGTTACTTCAGTACTTATTTTATAATGTAAGACTTTCCATGTAGCATAGAAAATATGCAACAGACAGGAAATGCAAGTCTAGAACAGTTAAAGTAGTTGGATTGTATGATGGCACTTATCACTGTATAGTTCTGAGGGGTTTAATTTATAATTACTGCTACCTAGATGGGGTAGCTTTTTAGTAAATAAAGTAAAACCAAATGTTTGAGGTTCTGGAATATACTGCATGGGTATCATCACCACTCTATTTTAACAGTTAGTTGCCAAGCATCCCAACATGTTAAAATAGCCCACTGAGTTTGTATATATGGCATACAAGATTCAAATAAGTCTAGTACAGAAGATGCAGCACAGAGAAAGAATGACCAGGGCGCTTTAAGCCACATTGTAACAGCAGGACTTGAGTGCACAGTTAATATTATACCCCATTGATTTTGATATAACTGGCAGTGAAACAATTTCAGTTTTAGCTGAGCTAATCTTTGTACAGAAGATGCTCAAAATGCATGTTAAAACTATCATGTTAAAACTATCAATACATTGCCATTTCAGGAAACAGTTTGGCATTGGCACCATGCAGATGGCGCCTGCATCCACTTAGGATTTCTGAACAGCACTTCCTTACTCAGCCTACCTTTTGTGGCCTAGGCCCCACTCACAAATCATGTATACAGACAGGCAGCAAACATCTACTTCTCACTGGGGTTGCAAACCTCTAACTGGAAAGCTTGGTGAAGGCTCACATTGAATTTTCTCTGTACCAACAATTACTTACAGGTGGAAAACTAATGTTAGAAGTTTAGGCTAAAACACTTCTCCCCGTGTGGAGGCATTTTTAAAAAGAAATAGGGACAAATATTTAATCTTGAGCACTCATATGTACTTTCTTGAAGTAGTATGGTTACCATGAGTAAATCTTCCAAGCTTCAGTTGCCAGCTGTTGAAGGGAAATTGGGCGCTTGTCTCAGGCCAAGCATATGTAACAGATGCTTTGTACTGTCAGTTTCGAGCACCATCTGTATGTGGGAGCACATGTGGATACTCTGTAAGGCAGCAGCTAGCACACCGTCTTCTGTGTTTGCAGTTTGCTGGGTTCAGCCATTAAAAAAAAAAACTATAGGGTAATAGTTGAAAAGTTTTACCTTCCTAATTTATGTGGCCTTTCCCACTTCCATCTGTGGGTTATCTTTCTGGTAAAAATACTCAAGACAATTTCAGCACCGTTACTTCATTTCTACTTTTACTGTATGTATTAGAAACATAATTGACTAGAAGTCTGTTAAGTCTAGAATTTCTAACAATATGATTGGAAAGAATCTTTCTATGGAGAGGGGGAAGACAGTGGGCAAAGGCTAATTGTGTGTGTGTGTGATGTAAAAATTAGCTTAAAGTGACTGCTTCTCAGTTTTATGGTAAAAAGGAAGAAAAATAACTTACGTGAAAATAGAGGTACAACACTGAAGCTGCTTGCTGTACAGTTAATTAACCTACTTCTGAGTAAGTATATTTTAGATTGCGATATGCTTTGCACTGTATAATTCTTCAGAGTGTTACATCACAAGAAGCTCATGGATTTGAAGAGAGCCTTTATATCTGTTATATGCTGTATAAATAGTGTAATTACAGGAGTGAAAAGCTTCTGCCTTGTTAAATTGAACATAATTTTAAAGTTTACTTCAAGAATTAGCTCATATTAATCTATTGTAAATAGCATTTATCAAATAAAGAATAGGTGTATATTGCCTGAAAATATTTTCTAGCTTGTCGAATGGTGAGATGTAGTATTACATGCAAGTCTGAAACTTTCAAGAAGAGTTCTCAAAACAGTAATTTGTCAATAACAGAGACAACATAGCCCGTCTTGGCTATTGATTGAAGATAATCAGCTTCAGAAACGCCCTTCTTCAACAGCAAGGCTACCTGAATTTCAACTCTTCATCCTGTCTACAGGAAATGTACCTTTGGAGGTTCTGTGTGAGCCCTGAAAGGGGAATAGCAGGAGAAAGAAGAAGAGCAGAGGCGGTGCTTTCTGTTTGCAAGGTTGGCAGCTAACTACAGCTCTCAGATCAGATAGACAAGTTGCTGCACAGATAGGTATTGTGATGGGGATTGAGATTCTATTTAACCTGATGGACCTGTTCTTCAGACCTTCAGAAATAATGGCTTGGAGGAAGAAACTAAACAGGAGTTGCAGAATTGGCGGTGTCTTAAGGACAAGCTTGCCCACAGGTCTCTCTTTATGCATCCTCTTCCATTCATCTTATTATGGAAATATTCCAATATTTTCAAAACGCCACACCCTATCCACATTACAGCCTACAAATGTTCTTTGCACAGGACTTTTCGAAATGGTTTATTTCTTCACTGCTTGAACCAATAAATAATAATTCAAACCTTTTCGCAATAGAATATTAATACTGTATATGCAGTGTTGCAGTTCTCTTTAAGACAGAACTGGCACAATATGCCCAAACAGCCCACATGAGGATTATGAGACAGACTACAATGAGTGGTTTCATTTTTAACATGGTAGGGTGATTATGAAACCGGTAAGAGAGAGTATGAAAAGAGAATTGCTGCTCCTGAGAAGCAGGGTGCACATAGTTCATTTAACTAGGACAAAGTAAAACAAATTGTAAAATCACAGATATGCAAGCAATTAAGATATCCACCCAGGAATAGATCCTGTCTCAAATCTGCTGCAGTGTTAGTAAAGCTATGTTAGCTTGGTTTTCAAAAGGATTGTGCTGAAGCACAACCTTGCCCTAAATGAACAATACAGCCAATTCTGGCAGGTTACAACTGTATAAAATTACTTAGCTTTTGAAGTCAGAAAAAAGGTTAAAATGGATCTCCTTTTTGTTTGAAATACATTCTTATCTAACAAGGAAAGAGCAAAGCCTGAAACAAGTCATTTATGATATGATCACCTCCACAGGCATTCAAAGGAGCCACCCAGGCTATGTATCTCCAATGCGTACAGATTTTTATTTTCAATAATTAAAATACATAATCAGTATTTAATGAAAACACTTGTTATTCTATTTCACAAAATTGTAAATATATATAGTTGTTAGTGCTAATATTTTGATTAGACAGTTGTAAATATCTGGCTTCTAGAAATGACCAAAGAGAGACTCATTTTCAATATTTAATGTTAACATGCTTAATCTAGAAACACAAGTGGGCCAGTTAAAACCTGTTTGGATTTCTGTTCTTGGAATTATTTTTTTGTAATAATTTTCATAGGTAAGACAGTGGGGGGGGGGCGTTGGTGAACAGACATTGACAATAAAAGGAGATAGCTAAGAACACTGATTGTTTAGCATCAGAGCAGGCAGTGTATTTAAAGTGTCTGAAAACTTGTGCCCCGGAAGGACTAGCACACAGACAAACAGAAACATACTTGGGCTACACAGTTGATTTTTTGTATAGTGTAGTTTCTAACACTCGTATAAAATGACTTTCAAATTCACTTAAAATCCCTTCTATGACTGCATTTTTGAATTACAGGCACCATTAATACAGTATTATGATTTAACCTCCATATTATGCCTGACAGGAAAGACAGTCCCTCCCATATTAGAAATACTTGATAGCAGCAGAAAAACACATTTTGTTCAATGTTAAAGTGTTATACCCCCATAACATATATACTAAGATTTACATAAGGTGCCTCAACTAGAATAATAGTTTGGCTGTAGTAACTTTGTAGAATTAAACTTTTCATGTATAGTTCATAAGAAAAAGTACAATGAGTTAAAAGCAGATCTGGTTTTAAAAACAATGTGTAGATCAGGAGTTTATCGGTGTTGGAAAGCTTTATAAATGTGCAGCCCACTGGAAAATTCAGTGTAACTACAAGCTGAACCCAGACACTGTTAGATGCTGAGCATTATTCCTAGCTTCAAAATAAGATGTGTCTGTTTCATCATTTGGCTGAGGTATGAAGGGCATGGCCTGATGATCCAGATTATCCCAGTCCACACCATGAAAAAGATGATGACGTTTCAATTCTAGAATAAAAGTAGAAAGAAGCATTAGATATGTTCCTGTGAATGACTTCCTCACACTTTGCAGATACTTCATCTTCTGATCCTAGATATCTCCAGGCCATTTTGTTTCTTGAATTAAGAGATTCTAATCTATTAATCAGATTTTTTCAAGATTTAAGATAAATACAAGTCTTAATATAGGTTGCCAACTATGGACCAAAGAAGCCCAAATCTAAATCCTTTGGCTCAGCTGTGAGGCTTACTAGATGACCTAAGCCATCTCTGAACTATCCTACCACCACACAGAAGTGCTTCATTATTCAAAACAAGAGAACTGCATCAATTGTCCAGAATTGGATTTCCATCTTGTCTTACGATCTTTGTTAGCAAAGGAACTACTGTGATGAGTCTCTGAGATCAAAAATGACTTGAGTAGCTACTGTTACTTTCAAGGACAAAGCAATTCCTTCAATTGGGCAGGGCAGGGTGGGGTGAAGCAAAGGTAAAAGAGCAGATCCAAAGATGGTGAAACTGTTTTATCCAAATTCCCAAGAACCTACATAGCCAAGGAGCCTACTTCAACCCATGTCACAGCTGTGATACTGGAGGAGTAAGGGCTGCTGTTTCCATCAAGACTGGAAGGAGATTTGTGAAGCTAGATCTCTGAGTTCCAATCTCTCTCTCTTGGCTCCCAGAGGCAGATATCCAGACCATCCCCCCAGGTAGCATACAGTGAAGCCTAAGGATATTTATTTATACTGTAATTGAATTGCCTCAATTCAAAGGGTTACATAACTGTAACAAGAAAGGGACAATAAAAGTTGATACTCACCCCTGAGTCCCGCTCGTTTGGAACTCTCAACAGTTAAAAGAATATCTATTGCGTTCTGAGCATGATCTGATAACTTCTCTTCACCTTCAGGCCATGGAATATCTAGAAACACATATACATCATCAGTACCTCAATTCTCATTCTCTGTCTCTCTGTCTCTGTCTCTCTCTCACACACACACACTCTCTCTAGATACACCATCTTTGAACTTAGTTTGGCCAAAACCACAATTACCTCTTTTCAGAATATTCTGGAATACTTGTTGTGGCGTTTCATCATTGAATGGTGGAATTCCAGTTAAAAACTCAAACAAGCAAACTCCAAGTGCCCACCAGTCTACTGCAGGACCTGAGGTGAAGACCATCCACATAAATTAACACCAGTTCCACAAGATTAGATATAGTTGCATGTCAAGGAATAACGGAACACAGAAAATACTGGGAAGATTCTTAATAACCAAACATTTTTTTTACGAAATTAAGAGAAAAAAAGAGAAACTGCATTCTAAGCATCTTATTTTTTTCTACTGTTGTTCTTCTACTTGTTAATATTTACCTAAATGTTCCATGGCAGAAAGCATAGTGAAAGACGTCATTAGCATCTCTAACACACTGGGATTTCCAAAGAGCAATTATGTAAGGAAAACCAAATCCCCCCAGTCTTTAGAGAGGAACCAATTATTTGATTAAGGCCATCACGTTCAAAACTTTAAGGTTACACAATACTTTAAACTCGCTTGAAAATTACAGGGACCAAGGTATTTTTGTATTTTCCAATATCGGTGAGGCTACTGTAGAAATAAGCTCCAGTCAGAAGCTTGCAATCAACAGAGTGCTCTCTTGAACCAAAATTGAGCTCTTCCACTTACTTGCTCCTTGAAAGTGTTCAGGTCAGGAAACTCAATGCTGAAAAGCACAAGCAGGTGAAGCTTTTGGAAGCACCAAAACCCATTAATAAGCAACATGCACTGTACAGCTGCCGCACTGCTAAAGCTCCAGCCAGCCCATCCTGATGAGAGCAACAGATGGTTACGTTTTCTCAGGTTTAGAGGATTGGTTTGTTCCCTGTTCATGTAAGTGGGACCAGCGATCTTGGAGTATGTCCTTCTTTGTACAAATATGGTGGGTGAACTGGGTGATTACAGCTTTCCAGTGTACAGTTATTTTTGTGATGGCACTTTGATTAGCCACAGATTGCCCACCTCTGCTCGAATATTTGCTAATATTCTGCTTCAAAGAAGATTTATTTTATTTATTTTATTAAAACATTTCTATGCTGCCCCTTGCCAAGGCCTCGGGGCGGCTTACAACACTGAATACAAAATACATTAAAACAGATTGCCTTATTTTGCAGAAGTGATTATCATTTGTGGTGTGGTGAGCCCCTCTTAGCAGGAGCTAACATTAATTCTTTGGTCTAGATCAATACTTAGTCATGGTTAGAGTAGACCACTGAAATCAATGTGGGTTAAATTAGTCGCAACTAACATATGTTGCATTGCTTTTGATTGGTTTACAGAAGCCTTATCCAGATAATCTTTTTAAAGTGTATTGCTACTGCATTTTAACCTTTGCAGAACAGCAAGCAAATTGCAATACAAAAGTAGAAGGAACCAATGTTTCTGTGCCTCCCTACTTTCCCTTGCAAAAGACTGGATAAAGAGAATTTTGGAATACAAAGGAAAGGCATGCTGTCTGGGATGACAAAACAGCATATCTAAATGAGAAAAGAAGAAAAGGCAAGCTACATTTATTGTATTATTTTCCTTTCCAGAGGAAAGTACAGCAGTACTCTGCTGTTTTTGCTGCACAAACCTAGTATGGCTACCTCTCTAAAACTTCAAAGAATGAGAGTTACATGGCTTAGTATATATATTTGTATTTAGCTTTATGGTCAAATTAAACTTTGATTGTTCTGTAACGTACCATAAGGAAACTTACCAGTATTCTGAACTCCTGCGTGTAAAAAAAAAACCAGGTAAACATTTTGGTCTGTCTATATGAACCTTTATGACACTGAACTCAATTAATTGATACTGTTAAAATTTAACTCAGAGCTCTGTCACAAAGTCGTCATCATCAAATGAAAGTCTGACAAATATATCCAAACATTTCTTCCTTAGTATGGTCATACATAAGCACACAAAATTAATTTGCTAGGTTGTCTATTTGCCCACCCACTAGAGGGTCAGGTTATACATTCTGCAGAATCAAATGGTAATATTGTGGACTACATCCTCCAAGTTGTAAGTGAAGAAATGAATGATTCAATGCACAAACATGCATAAAAACTGCTTACTAAGTAAGCATATCAGGAAAAAAGTGAAACTAGAATTTCTTCTCTTATGTTCTAATATTTTTCCAGATTTTTTTACATCCAGAAATATATGATAGTATTCCTGCATTCCAAAGTGAAGGAAACCAGGAAAAGCTAGCCAGGATAACAAACCAGGATGTCAAACCATCTTCTGAGCTTCTTTTGTTCTAACTACCTAGTTAGAATAAACCACAGCTCCCCAAGTACATCTATAACAAGGCACTGCTTAGTCAAAACTGAAAGTAGTAGCTTTCACTCTCAAAGCAAAAGAGCAAGGGGAAGTTTTCATAATATTTAGATGCTTAGCTCAGATGAGAGCAACATAGTGAAATTCATGGTGACTCTGGCAAAAAACAATAGTGGATTGCAGCTGAATTTTGGTGACATACCACTACAGAAAGCTAAAAAGGCAATATGTAGGTTGTCTGAAATTTGTGTGTAAACTGTGGTTTTTTTCTGTTGCCATTACTGCTAATTTCAGCACTTTGGCCATCATTCTAAAACCTTGTTAATGACTGGGAAGTGGTGGGAGTTTTTTGGCTTCTACTCTTAGCTGCCTGGTTTGGCAATGCAGCACCAACAGGAATGGGGACTTCCAGGCTATCAGAAATGGTCTCCAGAACCCTGACCCACCCCTGATTCAGATGACTTGTCCAACCTGGGATGCTGTATGTATTTAAGTATTTTCACCTCACACAAGCACCTCACACAAGTACCTCTCATATAAGTTCATCTTGATGAGCTTATTCACCATAGATCTGTCCCCTGTTCCTTACAGAAACAAAACTGTGTCTGGGTAATTACATTTGCCTAGCTTGTATCTCTATATGCCAAATATTCAAAGAATATATGAAGCAAAGTTAAAGTGAACTTCTTGCAATTAATACATCACTTGGTATATAAAACTCAGAAAGAAAAGATAACCACCGCCAATGTTTTGGAACAAGGCATGACTGAAGCATCCTTTCTTTATCATTCACAGCACACCTCAAACCCTCCTCCCCCATTCTGCCATGGGAAACACCAAATTTAGGGAAATTTTGGATATTAGTCTGCACAGCAACGAACATAACAAGAGAAGGAAAGGAAAAAAAATACACTTCCATGTACTTCCTTAACTATGCAGAAATGAATTTTTAAGGTTAAATCCAGGCTTGAGTACCATCAGTAATAAAAGTGCTTTCGGATTAAAGAAAGATAGCATTGCACTGCGAGAATGAGGAAACATATTTTATGGATATGAGAAACTTTTCTGCCATTACTTAATTGCTTACCATGGGCCTTGGCTAAGAGCAGCTCAGGTGCCAAGTAATCTGGGGTTCCTAAAATGTGTTCTCCCTCCACAGGGGCAGCCCCTCTTCGTACACTCTTTGGGGTCCTGTAAGGTGTATCAGCATTTCCCTGGGGAGTCTGATGTCAAAGAACAGATACTAGATTAAACACAAGAATTTAACAAGCTAGTAATTTATTGCTTCAGACTAGTTGTAAATTCAGATGCTGAACTTCAGTCCTGAAAAAGGCCTGGGCAACTGCCCTACCACCCCAGCAATGAAGCCCCCTGCTTAGGCCTAGCATTCTCAATTGCATAGTTCTGAAATGTTCATTGCAATCACATAAGGACAGTCCAGCTGGATCAGCCCAAAGGTAGGCCATGAGTGCAAGAGCACCCTCCCACTCACGCTTCCTGAACTGTCTAATCTCCATTTCATGTTGGTGGCCACTGCTACCCCATTCTGATGAGGATTTCTCAAGCAAAAAGGCTTTTCCTGATTGGCTCCTATGATGCTGAGTTTTCATCACATTAATCAATGTCCTTCCTGAAGATTACTATTTTAATTACATGTTTCATTTTGATCAACAAATGGTATCGTGTTATGAAACCCATACCTCCTGCTTCTCATGATCAGTGAACCTGGAAGGAGCAATGGACTCTGAACCTTGAGATTTAGAGCCTATTATAAAGTCTCACTAGACACTAACCTGTCTGCATGGTCAGGTAAGCCCACTGGTGCAACTAATAGGAATAAATAAGAGCAAGGTTCTTTCAGTTGAATTGCCCCCACCAAACAGTTGCTTGGGAGAAAAGCAAACCTATGCCTACTTCACACATGACTTTTCTGTGTGGGATATGATTTGCATAATAGATGCTAGAAACATACATGTCTATTATATCATTTAGGGGAGATTGTCACTTAGCAAAGAATTCCCATGGCATGTGCATACATCAAAAGAGAATGGTACTCAAACTGCATTTCTTTAGAGAAAAGATGAATTATTTAATTAATTAAATGCATATATTTGCACCACTGCACCTACAACATGCACACAATTTCTGCTCTGGTATCTAGTAAATGTCATAGCCCAGATACTGCTTTTCTGTGAAAATAGTTCCCTGATGAGACTTAATACAGTCTGCACCTATCTTAAGGCTGTTCAGAAAAGTGCTTGTGCAAACCAAGCTAAGTTCTCCTAAGTTGTTTTGCAACATTTGCTTATATCTCAGTATCAAGTTAAATTAGTAACTCAATCTATTTAAATTGTTCTGCAAACAACCCAAAATGCTGCTGGAGGAAACATAAGCAGAAACAGGTTGAGATTTTTACATGAATGTATAAGCCTGGGGTTAGCAGTTCCTCTACTCCATCTGTCATCTGTCAGCCCTACAGCAACTTGGTGATATCCAGACGTCAAATGGATAACTTTCATCATTCCCAGATAGTATGACAATGCTGGGACAATGTGTGTTGCCTCAGATTTGGAATCAGAACTGAAGAGGCAGAGATAAAACAGGCAGCCAAGGAGGACTAGACCATTTCAAGTTCTGTGGGAAACTCAGTTGAGCATTTAGAGATGGGTGCCGGTGGACTGACTTCAGTCCAATTGAATGGTGTCAGGTGAAACCAATTTAGAAGTGTCAAACATTATCAACAGTTGCCCAAAAGTCAGCTCCTTTTGGTTTAGAAGGGATGAGAGGGATACAGTTTGTAATCAACTTTTTATCATTAAGCTGCATTTCCCTAATAGCTGGTATTCTAAGTTTATTTGTGTCTGACATCTGCAGTACTCGTCTACCATATCGCTGGCCTGATTTAACATAAACAAGTTTTGCCAGAATGCCTTTTGTCCTGATCTGCTTGGAAGGAAGTAGGGGAAGGACTGGCACATGGCATTAAAGATCAATATGCATTTTTGGACTTTCATATAATGCATGAACCTACCATTACCTGGAGCTTCTTGCCATGTGTACATTTGATTGTATACATCTGGGATATACACAAGTTCCTATACAAAAGTGATGCCTGCTCAGGAAATGCCTCTTCTATCAAGATGCCCTTAGATGCTATTCTGCAGTGTTTAATGTGCCTCTTTACCACCTACCTGATACACTTTGTAGGCAGTTCCCTTTTGCACAGGTGTAATAGTCATAGGATAAGAGCCACTGCAAGCAGAGATATCCATGCCTTCTACTGACATCATACTAAGTCTTGATGGCTCAGACATATTAGACACATTGATTTGACTGTTGTAACTCCGAAAGGCAACAACATTTTTCTTGAATTGGTTCATTGTTTTTAACATCTCCACTGATGAAGAAGAGTGGATGTCTGTGTGTATTTCAGTTACACCTTTCTCATCCTGATCATGACACACTGGTTTGCTATCCTGGATAGGAAGCATCTCCTGACCTCTTAGCAAAGCACCTGGGCAAAAAGGTGACGTTATTGACATTGCCTCTGTTCTTAGTTCCTCAGAGGTGAGATCTTTAATGCTTGCATCTAAATGAGAAAAGTGCTTTTCTATGTGACTATCTGTAGTAGACATTTCCGGAAGGGATAAATCAGAGTCCATGCTCATGCTTGCTAGAGGCTTTTCATCATCAATGCATAAAAAACTGGAGTTTGTGAGTTCTTTTTTCCCATCCTTTTCACAGTCTGCATCTAGATCATGCATAAGGTTCTTTGCTATGAAAGGAGTAGCTGATTTGCTACCCCTGTTTTGTTCAGTGCCACCACAGTCTTTTGCTTGACCTTCACTGGTACAGGCCTCTTGTAGGCATTTTTCCAGTTTTAAGCAACAGATTTCAGTTGTTAAACCTGTGCTTTGTTTTTCTGCAATCTCGGTGATTTTGCAGCCACGTTTGTATTCTGCATTGCTTTTCTTTACAAGAATTAGTCCTTGAGAAGGACTTGTGTCAACTAATTCAAAACTTCTTTTGACACCTGGCTTCTCCAATACTGCCTCCTCTTTCTTTTCTTTCATGGGATTTCCTGAACTTAAAGGAGGCAATGGGCAATTAGACAATTTTGCTGCCTCCTTTGCTGAATCAGTTGTTTCTGAAGATAAATTTTCTTCCCACTCTTTGTATTCAGAAAGGCATTTTCGGACAAGGTCCTTTACATCACAGGTCCTTATAGAAGTGTCACAGGAGTTAAAGTGTTCAACCCTTCCATCCACCCTGCCCCCAGAATCATTGCTGCTAATAGGGGAGATGGCAGATTCCAATGCCTTTCTCTTTAAACCTTTCGTGCTATTGGCAAGCAATAAATCTGTATTTTCAGGCTTCTCTGATGCACTGCCTTTTCCTGTGACAGAGGGAAGTATGTCTTCCATTTCCTGAAAAGCAAATACTTTCAAGTGTTTATTAACATGTTTAAACAAATGAATAAATCATACATACTTCCCACATTATTTCTATCACATTTTTAGTCCAACCTGCTTCCCCAGCAAAAAACAAAAGCACACAATATGGAAAGTACAAAAACAAAAAACAGTTTGCCCCACAACCCAAATGCTTGTTGACAGGGCCAGTACTTTGCTCCTCAAGGAAAAGCCGAGCAAGGCTCTCTGGAAAAGGACATTCCAAAATCTCGGCACCGTGATACAGAAGGCCTTGTGACCCACTCACTTCAGACAATGGCAGGATATGTAGCAGGGCTTATAATAGTGACCTGCTACCCCAGAAGGTTTGTATGGAAAGAGATCGCCTTTAACCATGGTGGTTTCCACAGCCAAGCGTAAAACATGTCAGCAGTTGAAATAAAGAATCCAGATCTTGCATGATTGCCCTTCTTGGGAGTTAATGTTTAAAGCTGCTGAAATGTTGAATAATCCCATTATGCCCTTTTATCATTCAGTTATAAAAAGTCAGAGGAACCAAAGCCACTGGAAAGAAACGCTCCTGACCTGTGTGTCTTTTTCCCACCGGGGGCTGCTGCAGCACTCCGACTCCATGCTGGACAACTGGGTACGGGAATGGCTACTGGCACTGGAAGTCCCATACCGCTTTCTGGACTGAAGTAGAGTTGGCGTCAGACTCCTCACCGGCATTCCAGGTGTTACAGCTGAAGAATTTATGCCTTCAGGAAAGACGGGTCAGTTTTTAAAATCAAGTGGCAATGTAGAGTATTCAGTTTTCGAGCAAATTTAATCAATAACACCTGGAATTCGGGAAAATCAGATGTCATATTTAACTCAAGGATAATTGTTGTAGGACATTTCATAGGAGCTCTTAATTATTTTTACTGCAGCACACTTTATGAATAATATGATAAAAGCAAATTATGCTGCTTAGGAATGCAAAGACCAGGCTTTCCTGCACATACCAGATGCCTTTCCTACTCTCAGCCCTGGCCAGGAAGCGAGCTGAGCTGAGCTGAAGTACACAGACACCCAGAAATACCAGGGGCGTCTTTGCATAAAGTATGCAAACTATGTAATTCTTTGCACAAAATTCATAAAGCCCACATGTCACATGTGTGGAAGCAGAGCTCTGCTTGAACTGGCTTCTCACCAGATGTCCATGTGAACATTCAGCATGAGGTGGACTTAGGGTGGAGAGAAAGTGGGCTAGAATTTGAGGAGCTGAGCTGAGGAAATCCAATAGATTTCCACTCCCAAACCAGATCCTTCACATGTTCCCAATGCTGCTATCTTATATGTGATAACCACAGAGAAGAAACATGCATCAAGGTTTAATCTCAAGTAGTATAAATACACTCAAATTATCTACTGGAAGTTGAAAGAGGAAAGCAGGTCGAGCCACTACATCCACTTTCTTCTGCACCCCAACAACTTCTGGGAAATATGAGCAGTAATGTTTTCTTGGTGAAAACATGCTTGCCATTATATAGCTCTGCCCTAACTAGCAACTTGAATTTCTCCTACTAAAGTACAACATTTCACTGCTACCTCATTGGCCCAGTTCAAACACAACAGCTAACAATATGTTAAACAACCCATAGTTGTTGGGGACTGTGCCAGAGTGAGCAGGCGATGCCTCTTGCTTGCTCTGTTTCCACTTTCCATCAGATTTCATAAACAGCCCAAGAATGTTCTGTTAGTAGATTGTGGGTGCAACATGCAAACACAGAAATCTGGGTTTTGAGGAACCAACAATAAAGTGTTTGAACCGATGGTTTGTAGTTGGTTTAAAACTATGAGTTCTCTGTCCCTCAACAACTTCAAGGGTTCCAGGTTCGCATGACATATCAAACAGTGCAGAAATGGGATGTTCCCGAGTCGTGGATGAGATGGATGCAAAGCAAAAGCGGTGTGTGTGCAGCAAAAGTGGTGTCTTGTTCACTCTGCCCTGATGCAATGCACTGGTTAAAATGGAATTCCTGGCTTAAACAACCCATGAATTGGCATGATATATGAACCAAGTTTATAGGGAAAAATGAGTCTTGATAGCTTTGATAGCTAGATGTCAAAACTCTCACTCTCTTTAAAAAGGGGTTCTGACTGGGTAATGGGGGTTTTTGACTGGGACGTATACAGCCATATATCCCAGACAAAGACCACCCATTGCTCTACCAATGCTGTCAAAACTCCTTTTCCACAGAGGCTCAGGAGAAAGTGCAAAATGTGTACCAGCCTGTGGGCTTCAGGGTGGGGGAAGAGAAGAGAATATTTCTCCAAGCAGGGTGTAAATCAGCAAATACTCCCTTTTCATGCGCATGCCGTTAGTTTCTCGTAGCACATCTTATTTGGACAGTTGCCAAGAAAAATCAGGGGGACAATTTAGAACAACCTCTGAACAATGTCAGGGCTGATACCTTTTGCAGCAGGTGCCCCCCCATCCAATTTATCCCTGCTGAGGCTTTAAGTCCCCCAGAAACAGAATTGGGTTTTGCATACACACACAAAGAGCGTTGACAACCATGGGCAGCCCCTCCAAAGTGCCACTTTGGTACTATGAAAAACTGCATCTGGCTGTCAAAATGGAGATTTCAAAAGTCAGATGTGAAGCTAGTATTTACAGTCTCTGGAGAAATAAAAGGGAAAGGGAAAATGAGATTAAATTGGACAGTGACAAACTTTATGGAGTGAGCATTCAACAAATAAGTTACCAGAACCAAGAAGGACCTTTTACAGTAACCACCCACCAAACCTCTAATTCACAAGGTCTTAAAAAGGGCTCAGAGAGATGATCTCTGTATATAGGCAGGCTTACAAAGAGATAGGCAATCCAGCTGGTTTTCATACTTACATGCTTTTAGTAGCTTACTCGATGCAGAAGGGTAGTCTTTGTGACTGACAGAAAGGGGGGAAACAAATCCTCTAGAAAGCTGAGACACATCTGCACAAACAGGGCTTGTGCTAGGTGCATGCACTTTCCCTCCAAGTGGAGTGTACTGTCAAAATTAAGAGATTATTTTTCTACAAATACACAGAACCAAATATATTATAGGACATAATAGCTTACAATTTCAGATCCCATAGTCAGCTACAATGGAGGACCACTTAATTCCTCAATAGAGTAAGAACCTCCTTGGGAAATAAAATAGAAAGAAAGAATTGGGAAAATGTGGTGAAGAATATGCATTGCATGCAAAAGGTTCTGTGGTCAATTTCTGACATCCTCAGGTAGAACTGGGAAAGATCCCTCTATGAAACCCTAGAGAGCCGTGGTCAATGGTGCAGACAATAGTGAGGTTGGTGGAATAATAGTCTGGCTTGGTATAAGGCAATTTCTAAGGTTCTAATAAACTGGGAGACAGTACATTATTCTGAATACTTACAAAACCAAAGGAGCTGATAAGAGACAAGACTTGTCCAGGAGTGCGTGAATAATCTTGCTTAGGTTTAGACATGGATGGTGTCGTGAGGATATCCATCATATTTAGTTCTGTGAAAATTTGAAGAACATTAGATTCTACAGTATTATTTTATGTTTCTTGGTGTAATGGAAGAAAATAAGTAGTTCTATTTTTTCTGGGCTTGCCATGTGTCTAACGATTGCAGCAGCACTGGCAGCTGAAACAATAGAAAGCTGCACCATCTCCTCATCCCTACCTACCTCTCTTAATTTCTCTTTGCCATTCCATCACTGAGAAATGAGTTATTGTGAATTGCCAGAAGCTACCATAAGCTGTGCTGGGGATCATTTGATGAAAAGGTCAGGTACAAATCCTTCAAAAGTGAAATAATGTGCTATGCACACATACCAGGAGATGTCACTGCAAGCCAAAATATCACTCCACTCCAATTTCATAAGGCTGAGTTTAATAATAACAATCCCAGCCTCTCCAAATACCCAGACAGATATGACAAAACTAAAATGCATGAAACAGGCTGGTTTTGGATATCATGGGAAGCAACTGTCATACTGAGGCCACTAGAAAATCCTAAGTGAAGGGATTCTTGCTGATTGTACCTGCCACAATCAGCTATTTCACACATTATGGCTAGGGTTGAAAGAACTACTGTAGGTGCGTCAAAACTTTGCTACACTGTGTGTAATTTTTAATATCTTTCTTTGAATTGGAAACCATCCAGGTTAACAACTTTTAAAAACAGCACCCTTTCAAAGGTACTTTGTCAGATGGCTGATGCTGAAGAAATTTAAGTCCAAAGCTGACTAATAGCATATCAAGGGATGGTCAGGATTGCTACTGACTATTTTAAAAGACAGGTTTAAGAAAAGTATAAAACTGTTTGCACTCGACTTCAAATATTTCCACAAGTTAATACAGTTTGACTTTTCCGCATATGCTTAATTTAAGAGCACACTCCCATGGTTCTGTACTCAAAAGTAAGTCCAACCACATTCAAGGAAATTTACTGCCTAATAAGCATATTTAGAATGGCATTGCTAGAATAAACTTTTCCAGTTTGAAAATCTTTCCCTGCAGGTTTACCAAGAGTGCTCTTTATCTGCCATAGGCAATTAGGCAAAGCACTAATTGCCTAAGCACAAAATACACATACCTATTAGCAATGATATCTATAAAGTAGTAGTCAATATTACTCCTCTGCAGAGTAAGTCAATCTATTCTACATAGCAGTAATACCGGTTAAAACTCTCAGAATGACTTTCCAAATCATTTGTTCCAACATACTTAAACATTTATTCCAACATTCTTGTGAATAAAAATAAAAATATTTGCAAATATAAACGAACTCAAAGTATTAATAAATACTTTGAATTTGATCTCACAGATATAGATGCACAGCTGTATGTCTTACCTCTGTTAAGAGTAACTCTTGATAGTCCAAAGTCTGTCAATTTTATGTGACCCTCGTTAGATATGAGCATGTTGTCTGGCTTTAGGTCTCTGCCGTTATAAAGAAATGCATAAACAGCTTTTTGCAAATTAGAAGCATCTATTTATAAAGTCACCCCACACTCCATGTTTCATAATATATAAATATGATCCATCAAGGCTCTATGTACCTGTGTTCTATCAGGAGTTCTACAAGTCAAATTACCATAACAAAAGGGGGCCTGTCATGTCTACCAGATGTGCATGAAAACAACACAAATCCCTTGTGGAAGTGGTCCTCTTTGTTTTATGTTAGTTGCAGGTCCGTACAGTAAAATATAGCATGACAAACACTCTTAAAATGCAATTTTCCTTTTTGTGGGGTTTGCACTGAGTTGTATTACCTGTGGATTATCCCATGTCTGTGAAGGTAATCAAGAGCTAGTGCTACTTCAGAAATATACTTTATTGCCACTTCTTCATCAAAATAACCATATATGTGAAGAAGAGATTTAACATCTCCACCTATGAGGTATTCCATTACCTGCCAAAGGAAAAACAACATACTCATTGCCATCTTAGTTTATGGTAAGATCTGTATCATAGCATCAAACATTGAATGAAATTCCTGATCTGCTTTGGTGAGTTCCACATATTTCATTGTTTTCCTGGAATAACCTGTAACAGCACTGCTGTTTTAGAAGTCCAGATATAGACAGAAACAAAATATGAAGACACACCTTTAAAAAGTGAGGTCCAAATCAAGACTACCATAATGCAGAACAGTATGTATGTATGTATTTATTTAGGATATTTGTACGCCGCCCTTTGCAAGAGCCTCAGGACGGCTTACACAAATAAATTTGAGATCTTTATAAGGATGGCTTCTTTTCTGAAGCTGATACTCTTGAGAAAAGGTCAAAATTGGTATTCAAGAAGAGGGAATATGTTAAGTCAGAAAACACTGTTGAAAAAACAAATGAGTTGAACAGGAAGGTAGAATTTTCTGAAACTGTTTGGACGTGCATTTTGAGAACTGCCTTAAGGCACTGTAAATAGTTTACTCACCAAGTAGACATTGCTGGCAGACTGAAGTGAGTAATATAAGTGCACAATGAAAGGACTTTTACTGAGAGCCAGGGCATCCCTTTCTGCCTGCACCTGATGCACCATATTCTTATTGATCATGTCTGCTTTTTTTACTACCTGCAAAGCAATGAACACACTGGTTGATACACAGAGAAGAGTCATGTTATCCCCTTATTTTAAAAGGTACGCATGTAAACCACCACTGAGGAAAAATAAACCAGAAATGTAGAATCCTGTTCCTTTGCCAGTGCCTTGTAAACTTGCAATTTTACAATCCCGCACAGAACATTATGAGTTCAATTCTGCCAGTTAATATGCAAACCAAAGCACATGATGCCTGGCTTCCAACACTTACCACTGGCCTGGCAATCCAAGCAGTGTGATTTGGGAACATAAGTCACCTCATCCTGAGTCAGACCATTAGTTTACCTAGCACAGTACTGTTGACACTGATTGGCAGAGGATCACTAGGGTTCCTAGGCTTCGGATAGAATCCCCCCCCCCACCCCACCCCATGAATTTCGAGCCTCCTACATGCAAAACAAGTGCTCTGCCACTGAGACGTGGCCCTTATCCTTGGACTTTCCCAAGAACCCTCCTTTCAACCAGTTCATTAGAACCAGTTCTCTAAGGCCAGGCCTACTGAAGAAAGCCTGCTTTTCAGCATGCTAGTTTAATTGCTCTTACCTCAATTTTTGGGTTAAGAACTTGACTTTCTGAAACAACTCTATATTGTCAGGTATTTATTTAGTTTCCTGTAATTAGTTTGGGTATTATTTAAGTAGCTTGACATTTTCTGGAGTTCTTTTAGAAAACCCACATAGAAACATCATTTAAAAAAATGTTATGAAACCAAGATTATGTCTTAATAAAGAAGAAGTAAGAGCCCATCAGTAGGCTTGGTCATGCCCTTCTCAGCACTCTTGCAATCACTAAAGACTCCTCTCACAGGGTTAGACACAGTCATAGTCATGCTTACACAGACCTACTTAAACCAAGGAAACGTAAATATGACTAAGTCCAGATCCAGGCCACAGTATGCCTAGTCATGCAAATTCAGCATGAGTCTTGAGCTGTTGCTGGTTAACCTACTCTAATGTTATTATGTATCTTTTGTAGTTCATTAACTGTTGTGAATCAACCAGACAGTTTTGGCTGTTAGGCTGTATAGAAATAAATAAACAAATAAAATGAGCTTAGCCTTGGTTCACATTATGCGTAGCAGACTTGGGAAGCTAGTATCTGAATTGTGAGGACTGAATGGGGCAGGAAGACAGCATGATTTGCAGTACAGAAGTAGAAAGAAAGTACTCATACCCCACCTATCACTATTTCACTGTAATTCTCCACACTCCACCATACAGCTTCCCAATGATGCATAAAGCAGTTAGGAGACAGGACTACAGATACACACATTATCACAGGAAAGGTTAAACCCTGTCCTGCTCCAAATGTCTAAATAATCCTCACAGCCAAAATGCTTTGTAGCTGTTTAGGGCAATCTGGGTCTGCTGCCATTTATTTAATTTGGCTCTACAGTCTATGAGCAATCCAAGATAAACTGAATCCTAACCGTCATATTAGTATTCCATTTTTAATATGAGCCTGGGACATAACTTTATGCACCCCAATATAGTGCAATCGACAATCATGCATTTTTTCATAAAATCAGCAAAATGACTTTGCATGAGGACCAATATGTATTGATCATTTTCAAAGTCTAGGGCATATCATATTGCACATGCATGCCCACTCAACAGAGAACAGCACAACACATGGGAACTCATAAAATAGAAGGATAACTCTGAATAATATTAATTATATATGTCAGAAGTTTTGTACATACTACACATTTTATGTAAGCTGTATAAAATGCTTGTTCAAAGCTATTCTGATGTTTTAATGTGTTTATGAACTGTGTTCATATTCACTTCTATTATAGGAGACAACTAGAGCATAGGTGGAGGAAATCCCGGGATGAATCTGACCAAACACACTTAAGAGCCCATTATCGGGCCTATGCTGTGGTGGTGAGGGCGGCAAAGAAGAAATTCTTCTCCACTTCCATTGCCTCCTCACAGTGCTGTCCAGCGGAACTTTTTCGGGTGGTACAGGGGCTGGTACATCCAGGCCCTAAGAAAGATCCAGTACCACCCTCGATAACCCGCTGTGATGACTTTGCCCAGCACTTCAAGGAGAAAGTCGCTCAGATTCATCATGAGCTGGACTCCACTAGTGATTCAGATTCCTTAGGGGAGGTGCCAATGTTACCATCTGGTCGCATATTGTTGGATGAGTTTCAGTTATTGCGGCCTGCTGATGTGGACAAGGTGCTTGGACAAGTACATACCACCACCTGTTTACTGGACCCCTGCCCATCGTGGCTACTGTCCAAAGCCAAACACGGGATTGGTGCCTGGATCCTGGAGGTCATCAACACCTCTCTGAGGGATGGCCGGGTGCCTGCCCCTCTAAAGGAGGTGGTGGTTAGGCCGGTCCTAAAGAAGGCGTCCCTGGATCCAGAGATGGCTGCCAATTATAGACAGGTGGCCAACATCCCGTTTTTGGGGAAGGTGTTGGAATGGGTGGTGGCAGGACAACTCCAAGCTCTCTTGGATGAGACTGATTATCTGGACCCATTTCAGTCCGGCTTCAGACCCGGGTATGGTGCTGAATCTGCCTTGGTCGCCCTGTACGATGACCTGTGCAGGGAGAGAGACGGGGGAGTGCGTCCCTGTTGGTTCTCCTGGACCTCTGAGTGGCTTTCGATACCATCGACCATGGTATCCTTCTGGATAGGCTAAAGGGGTTGGGAGTAGGAGGCACTGCTTGGCAGTGGTTCCTCTCCTACCTCGACGGCCGATTCCAGAAGGTGGTGCTGGGGGACTTTATCTCTGAGCCATGGCAGTTATGCCATGGAGTATCGCAGGGGTCTATTCTGACCCCCTCGATATTTAACATTTACATGAAACCACTGGGAGAGTTCATCCAGAGGTGTGGGCTGCGGAATCATCAGTACGCTGATGATACCCAGCTCTACCTCTCTTTTTCAACCAATCCAGGTGAGGCAGTGGCTGTGTTGAACTGGTGCCTGGCCGAGGTAATGGCCTGGATGAGGGGCAATAAACTGAAGCTCAATCCAGACAAGACGGAGGTCCTGCTGGTGGGTGGTTCAAGCCCCTGGGAAGGTGACTTGGATCTTGTCCTGAATGGGGTTGTACTCCCTCTAAAGGACAGGGTCTGCAGCTTGGGAGGGCTCCTCGACCCGGAGCTGTCTTTGGAAGCTCAAGTGACGGCGGTGGCGAGAAGCGCTTTCCATCAGCTTAAGCTAATCCATTAGCTGCGTCCCTACCTGGAGGACGACTGCCTAGCAACAGTGACACATGCATTGGTTACTTCCCGGTTGGATTTCTGTAACGTGCTCTATGTGAGGCTGCCCTTGAAGACAATCCGGATACTTCAGATGGTGCAAAATAGAGCAGCCAGGTTGCTGACGGGGATGGGCGTTATTCTCATATAACCCCAGTCCTCTGCCAGCTTCACTGGCTTCCCATCAAAGTCCAGGTTCAATTCAAGGTGTTGGCAATCACCTATAAAGCCCTTAACGGCTTGGGACCTGGATACCTGAAGGAACGCCTGCTTCCATATTTGCCCTCACACCCCTTGAGATCGGCAGCAGAGGCCCTCCTCCGGGAGCCCTCCGGGAGACATCAGGAAGCAAAGTACCCGGAGGAGGGCTTTCTCTGCAGTGGCACCCCATCTGTGGAATGCGCTCCGCGGAGAGGTCCGCCTGGCGCCGTCATTATTTGTTTCTCGGCGACAGGCTAAGACCTTTTTATTCAAGCAATATTTTAACAATGTGTAATGTGTATGGTTTTAATTGTGCAGCCAGGGTGTTTCCGGGTTTTAATTTGTATTTGTATATTTATTTATTGGTGTGAGCCGTTCTAAGGCTATATAGCAAGGGGATGGCATACCAAAACTTTAAATAAATAAATAAATAAATAAATAAATAAATAAATAAATAAATAAATAAAATAATACAAGTCATTGTGTTACACCACATTTGCAAAACCGCATAACTCAGTTTCTGAAAACAGTCACTATGTATTACTCCATATAGGGCGTAAATCTTGTGATTATAGAAATAGATGTTAAGGAAGTCACTGTGTCATACCACGCTCATCTAGCTATGAATGCAAACAAGTACAATGCAACATTCCTCAGCATCTTGAAATGATCACTTGCTGCTTTTCAGAGAAAGCCGCAGCACCGCCTACTTTGAGGTTTATGACAATGGTTTGGATTCAGGATTAATTAGAGACCCACAGAAATCAATAGTACTTAGGTGAGGCATGATTAACTAATAGCACAATCCTATATATGTTTAAACAGAGAAAAGCCCTACCAGCTCCAGCCAGCATATAAAAGGCCTGTTTTCCTGTCTATAGGTGCACCATATGGTGCCCTAAAGCTGAATGCGACCCAGTGTATTGATTTGTGGAGGTTTTTTAAATTTTTATTTTAAGTTGACGCTTTTATTGTCTAGGCGTCAGTCCGTTTCAGGGGGGCTCATCCATGTTTTCCAATTTACTGTTACGCTCTTCTAGCTTCTGCGAATGCGGTTCTGGGCCGACGGACAGACAGGAGGGCAGGCGGGATCTAATTTCTGGAAAGCCTCACTCACGAGCCGCTCACCTTGACGGCGTAGAGCTTCCCCCTCCTGCGGCTCAGGTAGACCTTCCCGAAGGCTCCTCGGCTGATGGGCTTCACGATAGTGAAGTCCTCAATGGAGGGCGGCCGCGGCACCGCGAGGCGCCGCGCCTCCTCCGGCCCCGTGCATGAGCTGCCTGGAGGAGGCTCCGCCGTCCCCATCGCCGTCCTCTCCGCGACCAAGGCGGATGCCGCCTTCCCCGGCCCCCGCGGCCGCTTCGCTTAGCTTCGCCCCGCGACAATTCAAAGCTGAGCTCCGCCCAGCTTCGCCTGACGTCGCACGTCAACGGAAAAGAACGGCTGACGTCTCTGTTGCCATGACAAGTCCTGGAAATAGTCTTCAGTTCCACACCCATTCTAGTTCTTATTAACACCTTTGGTTGCACGTGGTTTTTGATTTTCCTATACTGTCGCGTCCAAAAAATGTAGAGTTATTTCTATTTTTTACCAAGTCTCTAGACTAAGTCTCCTCTGGCAACCGAAAACAAGTAGTGCTTAATATTTCTTATCTGTATTCGCGAATCAAACCCAAATATGGTTGTTGATTTCTACCCAAAGATTATGCCGCGTGCTTTCAGAAAATCTCCTCCCAGTCGACGGATCAAAGCTGGTTGGGCTGCAGCTTTCTTGCAGCACCAAGGAATCTACCTTGGTGAAGGGGTGAGATCAAGCAAAATCTTTTCCCAAGGAGGGTCACTTTTGCTGCCCACGGTTCCAGCGTCCTTTTTCCTTTTGAGTTCTAGAACTGGCAAAACTGATGGGAGTCTACAGAGCACAACTTGTTCTGTCCTACAACTTGTTCTGTCTAAACATGCCTAGGATCACAGCTTTAATAATAGTGACATTCCTATTACATTGCAGTGGTAGATGAATTTCTATTGAATTGTTTCAATGGCAATAGAATGTAAAAAGTATAGTTTTTAGCAAATCAGTCAAGGCATTGCCTTTTGTACGTTTCATTGTCCTTTAACCCCACTATTTCCATTTAATTTTTTCTACACCCATGCATACACTAAACCTGCCATATAAAGACAGCATGCATCTCATTCTGGACACTATTCTGCCGCGCTGCAACCCTACATATGTATATCTACTTAGAGAATGTAAGCGGACAAGGGCTTTAAAGGTGCAATCCTATGCATATTTAGAAAGAATAAATCCTAAAATCAAAGAATTCTCCTCAGAATGTCGGTCTAAAAGTGCAAAGAATTCTGCGCTAAGTCTTTACAATGCATACTACATTTAGTTCAGGGAAAAGTTTATTAATTATGCTGCAACACGGCTACCTTTCTGAGATTTGTTATTCCGCCCATAGAACACCACCATGTTTTAGAGGAAGGTTTATAGTGCTATTTTAATATGTGCGTGCGAGTCGTTCGTTCACGGGTGTCTGCGCGTGTGACGAGGGTGTTTCCGAGTGGGAGACAAAAAAAAATCAAAAATAAGCATATATATCTCACTTTGCAGCCCTGCTGGCACGGCTAGCAATCTTCCATCTTCACATTCATTTCCAGAGGAAAGCCGTTATTAGATTATTGCAGGAAAAACGAAGAGTCTTGCAGCACTTAAAAACAAGAGCACATTTATTCTGGCAAATATCGCGTACTGCAACACGCTTCCACACCTACAACTGAAGGGACAGAGCAGGGACTGCTTACGTGCGGTTAAAACTAAATTTGTCAGGAAACAAAACTATGCATGAGGAAAAAAGGAAGGCCTTTTTGCTAGCTGGGAATGCTGGGATTTGTAGGCCGGCTTTTCCCCGTCTCAGCTTCCACGGGGCTCAGACGCCACACACACACTCCTTAGTTACTGTCTTTCTGTTAATTTCAGCGGGACGAGGGCTTGAGGCCTGGTTGCGAGGATGATCCGGAAGTGCTAATTAGTGCCCGCCCCGTTCCGGAACGGCAGCCCGTGGCCGGGCAAGTTTCGCTCGACCTCAGCCGGCTGCGGGAAGCGGCCATTTTCTGGGAGAGCGGAGTAGCCGCCGAGTCTCTCTTCCCGTGGAGGACGGCCCCGGAAGGGCTGAGAGGTAGAGTCCGCTTGGTGCTGCGAACCGAGAGCTGGGCCGCCTGCGTGGCCGCTGCTGAGGAGGATGCTTTTTTTCCCTACCACGGTGCAGCCTCAGGTAAAGGCCTTCGAGAGGCCGGAGGGAAGGCAGGATTACGTGGCTTAAGCGCCGCTATTGTTCTGTGTGGCTGACGCTGTAAGAGATTCAGCGGCAAGATATCACCGGGGCCGGACCTGGAGGGGGCTGGGGAGGAAGTGCTCTGAAGGAAGGCAGGAGGTCCGTGAAGATTTCGGGTTTGGAGCGGCCAGAGGCGGGCCAGTTTGGGGCGGGCCAGAGTTACCCGAATGTTGGCCCTGATGATCGTTGGGGTTTCAGACGAACTTCGGCGGTGGGAGGGAGGCGGTTAAGAAGAAAGTGAGAGCCCTATCGGATCCCGTTTGTAATCTAGTATTTCTTATCTGATAGTTAGCTTACTGTAAGGATCGAATTTTAACGATATAGGAGGTGTCATGCAGGATCAAACCGGGGTCCATTTAGTCCAGTATTCTGTTCCCGAACTGGACAACCAACTGCCAACGGGATCTCACACGCAGGGCATTAGCGCAGCAGCACCCCATCCCCATGTTCCCCAGTAGCTGGAGAACATAGGTACACTGTCTCTTTTACTGGAGGTGGCATATAGCCATCAGAACTATTAGCCATTGCTAGCCTTCTCCATTGGACCAGTCCCCCTTTAAAGTCATCCAGAATGGTAACCATAATATCCATCTTGATGGCTAGAGAACGCTGGGAGTTGTAAGTTCTTTTCTGCCTAAACATGAATACAGTTGCATCATAAGAAGGCTAAGCAAAGAATAATGGCAATACTTCCTTCCCTACATTGTCTCCAGCATTTAGTAGTCAGAGATAGCCTGCCTCTGCATATGGTGGTTTCATTATCTAATCCTTTTTTAAAGGCCTTTAAACAGATGATTCTCACTTATCTTGAGGGGGTTAATTCCATGGGTTAATTACACAATAATAATTCCTTTTTTCTGTTCTAAACCTACTGTTTCATTAGATAACCATGTATTCTAGTGTTAAGCGTGCTGGACACAGGAGGGGGGGATATATTGCCCCCCCACATCTGTTGTCATGCCTGTTAGTTGTTTTAGGTTTTATTTTTCTTCTGAACTAAAAAGTTCAAATACCTGAACCTTTCCTCATAGAATTGTAGGTATGCATGGTAAGTAACAAAGAATACTTAACAGACATGTAGCTTGCAGAGGATTCAGTACCTGCCCATTTGGAGCTATTTTATATGGAGTCAGGCCATTGATCCATCTAGTAATGTCCCTAGGCATGAAGAAAGCAATTTTGATTTTGAAGGGGTCAAATTATGATAATTTGATAGTATCTGTACAAGTTGGCACCTTTTAGTTGACAGTTACAGTTGGTAGCTTTTTCCCAACCTAGAAATGGGTACCTAGCCTATATTGTTTGGTACATCTAAAATAACCACAAATCCCACAAATAATAAGAGATCACTTGCCAACCTCATCAGTTTTCTAGTCTGTAAAAGCAAAAAGTCAGCTCTTTATGGGACTACAAAAATGGCAGATGGAGATATATTCACTTCTGTATTTTGTGGGTCTTATTGTAATGTACAGAACATAAACCAAAGCTCATGTTTTGTACATGGGATGTTGGAAAGTTTATTCTTTAAGCATAACATCATGGCATGATGCATCTTGAAAAGTCACCAAAAATACAGGCAACTCAAACTCCATGTATTCCCCCCAACCCAGCTGCACCACTTTGCATTTATTTACATTGATTCTCAAAAGTTTTTAAATAGAATAGCAGAATGTGACTTTTTAATTTTATATATTTCCTTGGTTTTGTCCAGATCTTATTTTGTTTAGATCTTTTACATCCTTTTAAAATACCTTTTCATTTTGTCATCAACATATGAGGAATGCAGTAATAGAAAAAAAATCATTGACATTTAATCAGTGCCAGTACTGTGGTAGATACTGTAATTTTTGCCATATTTGTACTCCTACTTTCAATTATCTGTTTTTTCATGAATATTTATATTATATATTCTCTCCACAAAATCAATATACTAAAGTTAGCTCATGGGGAAGGAACTGCCCTGCAGGATCAAAGGTCCAACTAATCTAACATTTCATCTACAGCAGTAGCCAACTGGGTGCTTCTGAAAAGTATGCAAACAAAACATCCCCCCTTCTTTTTTTATGCATCATCTGATATGTTGAGAGAGAGAGAGTTAGCAGGTGTTTAGTGGTCAAGTGTAATAACTGTTGATAGATTTATCTTTTGTGATTTTCTTATATCTTAAAATGAGAATTAGAAGAGCCAACTCCTTTTTTGTGGAGAACTTTAAAGACCTCCTTGGTTATTCAGGGGCATGACACAATTATTGAAATGGCTTTCTTTTATTCTTGGCTGAGACTTATTATCTTTTAATGCTTTTTTGCTATTTTAAAATATAATTTGTAATTCTTGTTAATGTTTCATCTGTTATATTTTATTGTTTGAATACTTCATTGTGAACCACCCAGAGATCTTTGGCTATGGATATTATAGAAATAAAATGAAAACTGCTGAAAGGACTCAAGAAAAAGTTTACATTCTAGTGGTCCTTAGTATTACATAACCATGATAGCTTTTTTAAACTTTTCGGAGAACTGATGTAGTTTATATCCCTTGTGTGTGTGTCTTATTTTGTGTAACTTTTTAAAAAAGTTAGATATAAGTGTTCTATAGGGACATATCTTGCATAAGTATGTCATAAGTTTTTTGGGCACTAGAACTTGCAAAGGAGAAGAGAATAGAAATAGAGAAGGTAGGAGAGACAGAAAACATGTCAGACAAGTCATAATTTGTAATAATATTTAAAGAAATGTGATGAAGCTTGAAGAGTGCTGAAATTTTTAGAGTTTTTTGTGATTAGAGAACCATCCAAGGGGAATAAGAGGAAAGAAACATAGGTTGTTTCCTATGTGCACAGAGGAACCAAAAGGAATGTTTAAGTGGCATTGCACTAAGCTCTTTTGGAAATGCTTAGGGATTTAAGAGAGGCCTTGTTTCATCTTATGAGAAGCAATTCTACAGAAAAACTAAATGTCCCTTATTAAAATGTCATTCTTTATAAAAAGTTTTATTGCTCTGTGCTGTTAAAAAGCAGCTGTATATTTCAGGTATTGTGTGAAAAGCCATTGCAAAATCATTAAAAAGACACATACAAAGGGAATGGACACTTCTTTAGATAAGAGGCAGATTTAATAAATTCAGAATTCTAACGCTTCCCAAATGGCTTGAATCTTATTTTAAAAGATTATGTGGTTGAGTCCACTAAGGGTTAAAAAGGATTAGAATGCTTATATTCACTTAGGTTGCAATCCTTATACCCCCTTACCTGGAAGTAAGCTCCATTAACCTGAGTAGGTTTTCTGGGTAGATTTGCATTAGATTGCATTGTTCAAAATGGAAATATATTAAGTGATACCACATTTTTTAATATTAGGTCACAGTTCCTTTGAGTCATCTAATCAATGCCTTCCATTCGCCTAAAAGTCCAGCTCCATCTTTCGCTGCAACATCTACCCAGTGTGTGCAAAAGGAAGCAGCACCTGAAAATGATGTACAGAACAGTGAAGTAAGAGTCCTTGAATGTTATTCTTTTATACAGTTTATTTGTGTATATGTCTTACATAGCATGATTTACACTTTCTGTGTCTTAAGCATTGCAGTAAAAATAATCTTCAGAAGTAAAACCTGTTGAGTATCTGATAGTGTTAGCAGACAATCCAAATGTATGTAATACTGTCTAAAGATATAATTTGTTTGAAATGCAAGTATTCTTTTGAGTATTGTTGATTTAATTGTTTGTTTGCTGTAGGTATAACAGTAATAAAAATTCTATAACAGACATGCTCGAATCTTCTGCAAATTGAAATCGAAAAGAATATAGACTGAGTGTTCATGCCATGACAGTTCCTGGATTGTTTTACCCTGGTATTGTCAGGGCCAAGCAGTAGTGAGCAACTGCATTGAATCTAGTGTGTTCATTAGACCAGCTTTCAGTCAGCAACTTGGGAATAATGGACAGCTGTTGGGTTAACTCTCCTTTCTTTAACTGCTTAATATGCCAGAGTTGCAGGTTTCAGATGACACAGTTACCACCAAGGAACAAGGTATTCCAGGGTTATTGATCAAATGTGGAAGGGTCAAGTTTATGGGAGGTAGTGCATTTACGCACTGCTGCTTGGCCCTGATAATTCTGAATTTAGCGATCTAGAAATAATTATGTTGTGTAATCTGAGTCAGAAACTGAGGCAGCAGCCATATACAGAAGTAGGAATAAGGCCTATTAAATCAGAACCCAGTTCTGAGGAGTCGTACAGGACTGCACTGTCAGTTCCAGGATAAATTGGACTTCGTTTGAAACTAGAGAGTAAAGTAGTGATTTCTTTATGACTTTATTAGAGTATTCTTCTTACTGTAGAATCAGCATGAATATGGAAGAGCTGCTGCCTTTGAATTTGTATCCATGTATATTTTGAAAGATATTCATTGATAGATAGTAGCTTTTTACTCCTGCAAATTTTGTTTTCATTTACATTTGAATAAAAAACAGTTACCCAGTGAGCTGTTCACGTTGAGAAGATTAGGAGGATCACATGGTTTAAACAAATATTTTGAAGAGCTACAAAGGATAAGTAGAATTATTGATGGTTGGGGGGAATGATATTTTAAGAACAATATCTTTCTTGGCTCTACACTTCACATCTTAATGAGATAAGACCTGTATCTTTATGATTTGATCTTAATTTTTTGACAGATCTAATGTTCATACAAATTTCAATGCTATTCTTTTTGCAGCCAGCACTTAACCTACGAGACCTAGGACTGTCTGACTTGAAAGCTAGCCAGCTTGATGAACTAGTGGACAGGCTCCTTCCTGGCTTTTCTGCAGAAAATAAAATCTCTTCACACTGGCAAACATCACATATATCTGCACAGTCCTTTTTTGAAAATAAGCATGGTATGTGTTGGATATTAGTATTCTCGAGCTCTGAATCACTTAATTGAATCCTAGGCACTATTGCATCATACCCCTACATACATTGTTCCAGGGGGAGCATAGCTTTTTCCTTCATTCCTGTATTCATTTCTCCTGCTAGGCTCCTTTAATGCCAACAGGAACTCAGAATTGGTGCCAGTTTCATTTCTTTCTTTCAGCCTTCTTTCCCTGAAAGTCAAGATCTCCATGAATGGCTTGCTTGTCAACTTCATTCTGCTATTCAAAATATGAAGAGTAATTATTTTTACAGGCAGCTCTGAAAAGCAACAAGATAGGCTTTATCTTTTTTTAATTTAAAAAAATGGAAATTTCAGTGCACATGTTTAAGCCACAATCCTATACATTTTTAGGCAGAGTTCTCCTGTTACCGTGCCTGTCTAAAATGCATACTCCTTCATGGATCACTGCCTTGTCGTGGTGAAGGGGCTTGCATAGCTCAATGAAGCTATGAGCTATGCCGTGCAGGGCCACCCAAGACAGGTCATAGCAGAGAGTTCTGACAAAATGTGATCCATTGGAGAAGGAAATGGCAACCCACTCCAGTATCTTTGCCATGAAAACCCCATGGACAGTACCAAAAGGCAAAAAGATATGACGCCGGAAGATGAACCCCTCAGGTCTGAAGGTGTCCAGTATGCTACTGGGGAAGAGCGGAGGGCTAGTACTAGTAGCACCAGAAAGAATGAAGCGACTGGGTCAAAGCCAAAAGGACACTCAGTTGCTGATATATCTGGTGGTGAAAGGAGAGTCCAGTGCTGTAAAGATCTATACTCCATAGGAACCTGGAATGTAAGATCCATGAATCAAGGCAAGCTGGATGTGGTCAAATGAGACGAGACTGAATATCTACCTCTTAGGAATCAGTGAACTAAAATGGACAGGAGTGGGTGAATTTAATTCAGATGACCATCAAGTATACTAGTGCGGGCAAGAATCCCTCAGAAGAAATGGAGTAACCTTCATAGTCAATAAAAGAGTAGGAAAAGCAGTACTGGGATACAATCTCCAAAATGACAGAATGATCTGAGTTTGAATCCAAGGCAAACCATTCAACATCACAGTAGTCCAAGTCTATGCCCCAACACTGGTGCTGAAGAGGCTGAAGTTGACCAGTTCTATGAAGACCTACAACATCTTCTAGAATTAACACCAAAAAATGATTTCCTTATCATCATGGGGGATTAGAATGCTAAAGTAGGAAGCCAAAAGATAACTGGAATAACAGGCAAGTTTGGCCTTGGAGTACAAAATGAAGCAGGGCACAGGCTGGTAGAATTTTGTCAAGAGAATATGATGGTCATAGCAAACACTCTTTTCCAACAACCCAACAGACGACTCTACACATGGACAACAGCAGATGGTCAACATAGAAATCAGATTGACTATGTGCTCTGCAGCCAAAGATGGTGAAGCTCTATACAGTCAGTAAAAACTAGACAAGGAGCTGACTGTGACTCAGATCATGAGCTTCTGGTTGCAAAATTTAGGTTTAAATTGAAGAAAGTAGGGAAAAGCACTAGGCCACTCAGGTATGACCTAAATCATATCCCTGATGAATATACAGTAGAGGTAACAAATAGATTTAAGGAATTAGATCTGATAGAGTGCATGAAGAACTATGGATGGAGGTTTGCAACATTGTACAAGAGGTAGCAACTAAAACCAAAGACAAAGAAATGCAAGAAAGCAAAATGGCTGTCTAAGGAAGCTTTACAAATAGCTAAAGGAAGCAAAAGGCAAGGGAGAAAAAGAAAGATACACGCAATTGAAAGCAGAATTCCAGAGAATAGCTAGAAGAGATAAGAATGCCTTCTTAAATGAACAGTGCAAAGAAATAGAAGAAAACAATAGAATAGGGAGGACCAGAGATCTCTTCAGGAAAATTGGATATATGAAAGGAACATTTCATGCAAAGATGAGCATGATAAAGGACCAAAATGGCAGGGACCTAACAGAGGCAGAAGCGATTAAGAAGAGGTGGCAAGAGTACATAGAAGAACTATACAAGAAAGAGCTTAACGTCCCTGATAACCATGATAGGGTGGTCACTGACCTTGAGCCAGACATCCTGGAATGTGAAGTCAAATGGGCCTTAGGAAGTCTGAACAACAACAAAGCTAGTGGAGGTGACAGTATTCCAGCTGAGCTATTCAAATCTTAAAAGGCAATGCAGTAAAAGTGCTACACTCAATATGCCAGCAAATTTGGAAAACTCAACAGTGGCCACAGGATTGGAAAAGGTCAGTTTACATTCCCATCCCAAAGAAGGGCAATGCCAAAGCATGTTCAGACTACCGCACCATTGCACTCATTTCACATGCTAGCAAAGTTATGCTCAAAATCCTGCAAGCTAGGGTCCAGCAGTATGTGGACCAAGATCTACCAGAAGTACAGGCAGGATTTCGAAGAGGAAGAGGAACTAGATATCAGATTGCCAACATATGCTGGATCATGGAGAAAGCTAGGGAGTTCCAGAAAAACATCTGCTTCATTGACTATGCTAAACCCTTTGATTGTGTGGATCACAACAAATTGTGGCAAGTTCTTAAAGAGATGGGAGTACCTGACCATCCTATTTGTCTCTTGAGAAACCTATATGTGGGTCAAGAAGCAACAGTTAGAACTGAGCACGGAACCACTGATTGGTTCAAAATTGAGAAAGGAGTTCAGCAAGGCTGTATACTGTCGCCCTGCCTATTTAACTTATATGCAGAGCACATCATGGGAAAGGCGGGGCTAGATGAATCACCAGTTGGAATTAAGATTGCTGGGAGAAATATCAACCTCAGATATGCAGGTGATACCACTCTCATGGCAGAAATTGAAGAGGAACTAAAGAGCCTCTTGATGCAGGTGAAGGAGGAGAGTGCAAAAGTTGGCTTGAAATGCAACATTAAGAAAACTAAGATCATGGCATCCGGTCCTCTCACTTCCTGGCAAATAGATGGGGAAGAACAGATTTTATTTTCCTGGGTTCCAAGATCACCGCAGATGGGGACTGCAGCCAAGAAATTAAAAGACACTTGCTCCTGGGGAGGAAAGTTATGGCAAATCTAGATAGCATACTAAAAAGCAGAGACATCACCCTGCCAACAAAAGTGCATATAGTCAAGGCTATGGTTTTCCCAGTTGCAATGTATGGCTGTGAAAGTTGGACCATAAGGAAGGCTGAGCGCCGAAGAATTGAAGCCTGTGAATTGTGGTGCTGGCGGAGACTCCTGCGAGTCCCTTGGACAGCAAGGCGATCAAACCGGTCAGTCCTAGAGGAGATCAACCCTGACTGCTCTTTAGAAGGCCAGATACTGAAGATGAAACTCAAATACTTTGGCCACCTAATGAGGACTCCCTGGAGAAGAGTCTAATGCTGGGAACAATAGATGGCAAAAGAAGAAGGGAACGGCAGAGGATGGGGTGGTTGGATGGAGTCACTGAAGCAGTTGGTGTGAGCTTGAGTGGACTCCGGGGGATGGTGGAGGACAGGAAGGCCTGGAGGAATGTTGTCCATGGGGTTGCGATGGGTTGGACACGACTTCGCCACTAACAACAACAAAATGCATAGGATTTTATCCTTGATTTACTAGGGTAGTATCACAGATGTTGATGTATCAAAGTTACATCTGATTTCATTTGTTTCTAAAAGGGAAGCATTCATGTGTAGATTCTAATATAGTGAGGTAAATTAAAGTGATGTAGTAGCTTCAGTAAAGTTTATCCTGACACAAATGTGGCATTTCATTTTAACCTCACTTTTAGATACTATACATTTGAAAATACTAAACCTAGACCAAAGGTATCTAGTGTTTTTTGTTTTGGTTTAGTCCTTTCAGAACAGAAATAATGCTTTTTATGTTGTTAATTTCCTAGGTTTTGCTGATATATTTAGTATATTACGCTCATCTTACCCATACAGACAGCAACCCAGCCCCCTCCGGAGTGTATGTTCCGATCTTCAGCGTTGGCCAGGTATGAAGCAAAAAAGAGATTTCTGAAACTGATTAAAGGATGGGGGGGAATTACATATTTTGACTTGGATCCAGTTTTTCTTGAACTCTACTCATGGAACACCTCTGCTTGGGGGCTGTGAGACTTTTGGTTATTTCTCCTTTCTCCTGTGGCCTCTTGAGCCCCATTAAAAGCTGTTCTAAATGGTTGGAGTTACTCCTGGAAAAGTAAGAGGTGTTTGCAGGAACAATCTGAAAGCCTCTTTACCTTTCTCCAGTGGGAACCTCCACTGATTCTTAACCTCTTCCATTTATGGAAGAGCAGCTCTGGATCTAACTTCATACTACTGTTTACATTAACATAGTTTAATATTGATGATAAGTATTTTTGAAAAGCTTGACAGTACTTACTATGATTAACAAAATACCTATTCATTCTCTCAGTCACAAAATAAGTAATTTTTTTGAGGTTACTCAAGGACTACAGATTATCTTGTAATGTCACATGTGTAGTGTAGATTTCAGTAATAAAAACTTAAGAAAAGCAATGCTGAATCAGATCCAAGATACATCTAGTCCAGCACTCCATACACATGGTGGCAAATCCACTGCCCACAGGATCCCTCAAGCAGGGTGGGTTCATGACCTCTTCCTGGCCAAGCTCCTCAACAACTGGCCTTTGCAGGCATTCGATCTCCAGTAGCACATAGCCAGCAAGGCTAATAACCACTGGTAGCTTCCTCCCTAATGAATCTGTCCAGTGACTTTCCAAAGCCATCCAGATTGGCAGGCATCACCATATCACTAGATCATCTTACATACTCTTGAAGGAGGCCTGATTGAGCACAGTAGTACTTGTCTGAGTAAACATGCCATTATTCCTTAAATAATGTAGCTGAAATTGAAAGAGGTCCTTGGAGCATGCTCATTAGGAACTTCTCATCTGAAAAACAAATACCTCCTCTGCACTGCAATGTCTTAGGCTGCTTTGGAAACTATTGAGTTTCATAAGTGGCTGCAATAAAGCATAGAAGGGTAGTATTCTTGGAACACCAGTGCAAGAACCTAATGACACAGAAAAACTGCACAGCTTGTTATATGCCTCTTTAGATCCTTCAACAGGTACAAGGTCTAAGTGCAAGCCTCTGCATTTCAGTGTTTAAAATTTGAGACAAATTGGAAAAAAACACAGCAATTTCTCATGTTACCTTGAACAATAAGACATTCTTTTATGTATTTTAGTGTTCATTCAGTCTCGAGGTTTTAAAACTCTGAAATCAAGAGCAAGACGGCTGCAATCTACATCAGAACGATTAACTGAAACAGAAAATGTAGCTCCTTCATTTGTAAAGGTAAGCCTAAATATATTCTATGTCTACTTTGTGACCCTTTCTGTTAGACCTCTTCTGTCTGCTTTTTACAGTGACTTCAGTATGAACTATGCATAAACTAGCTAGCAGAGAAAGTCCCCCTTCTGTGGGTTATGTAGTCAAACACAATTGCTAAAGCAGTAAACTGATGAGTTTCAGAAACAAGTAACTTTGCAAGAAACTGAGTGTATTGTAGAGTCTGAGCCTGGGGCACTAAATCATTTATTTGTCCCCACTAATTCTATCAAAACACACTGCATAGATCACATGTATGTGCACATGCACACACAAGGCACAAAGTACCCCTCCTTGTTCTCTCTCTCCAGCCTCTCAAGATATGATCCGCTATCTGCAGCTCACTTTTCCCTTTTGTTCTTAGAAGTGGCTGTATGCTTGTGGCCATCCACTGTAGTGGTGAAGTTCATTTTCCAGCATGCTACCTTCCCAGTTTTAAAAAACAAAAGAAATCTTTACAAATAACGGCAAAAATAAAATAAACTAGCCAGGTGAGAAGCTGTGCACTTGCCAACAGAAGAACTGTCCAGGCTCACAATGCTGGTGATCTCATGGCCATGGAACATCACTGAGCACAAACGTAGTAACTGGAAGAACCCTTGGGGTGTGAGGATGGGGAATTTTTTTTCTTTTTTTTTGAGAATTGGTTGCTTATTTTAAAAGTAATACAACTTTTCCCCAATTATATTCTTAGGGTTTTCTACTGAGAGATAGAGGATCTGAGATTGAAAGTTTAGAGAAACTGGTGAAAACAAAAAACATACCTGAAGCTCATCTTGATGCCTTTAAAACTGGCTTTGCAGAGGGCTTTTTCAAAGCACAGACACTTACACGATGTACGTATGGTCAATGAATCAATGTTTAAAAATGGTTTATTCAGAGCATTTGGATACTTGTACAATATTAGAATGTCTATTCTCTTAATACTGCAGAGGGGGGTGTCACATGGCAAATGAACTCCATTTCAACCCTTTCCCTTATGTGAAATATATATTAATAATTAGTCAAGTTCCTCCTACACTTCCCTTTGTCATTACGGTCATCCCTTTCATTGGTTTCATTGACTGTTTACTTGGTTGCTATAACATCAAAGAAATTTTATCTTGCTCACTATGTTTTCTTTTCTTCAGATACCTTAAGACGAACCCGTTTATGGCTCTTGGTTCTGATACTGTTTTGTATTTATACTGCGTCAAAAATCCCATTTTTATCTGGTAAAGGTTCTTTTTCTAATACTGTTTTGTTAATTTTTCATTCTTCTGATTCTTTCACTTTCTTTGTGTGGTAGTACTGTGGTGTCAGCTGTGATCATTTCAGTTTAAATTAAGATCACAATTTATCCTTGGTGTACCCTATTCTGGGTCATATAGGATTGCCATGAAGTTCTGTGGAATCTATTCCTCTAGTGTTTGTGGACTTTCTGTCATGCTCAACCTTGTCTTAAGAAGCAAAGCAAGCAAAGAGGAAGTCTGTGAACACGCATAAAATGAAGGTTGCAGAACTGGCAACCTTCTTTCCTATCATGTACAGCACAAATAAAGCCTGTCACACATGAGGCAGAATGGGGACATTGCTTGCGCAGCCGTTGCATGGGGCTCAATTCCTGGTGAGCACTACAGATGCTGGGTATGCTTTCCAAGGGCTCAGATTCAAAGCCATGCTAAAATGAACTGCAGTCTGGAGACCTGAGCCCAGAGAATCTGCCAGGTTCTCAGCCCCAAAACAGAATCTTCACACATCCCTAAGTATATCTAATGTTGCTTTTCTTTTAAACTAATACTAGTTGGGAAGAATATATCTTCATAAAATATGTCTTTGATCGGAAATATCTCATTCAGTTCAGTGCATTTTCTTCAGTGCAGTTTATTACTCTTAACAGCTTGATTAGTTTGTGTCTTGCTGCTTTCCAGAATTTTATAGTGCAAAATTCTTTAACTTCTTAAAGCAGAACAAAGTTTATGGAAAATTCAGAGTACTTTCAGTGTAGAGATTTGTTACATAGATACTATGGTTCAGAAGGTGTTGTAAGATGTTACGAGATGGGATATAGGTGTATTCAGGTTGTACATTGCTCAAGATACTTCAGTTTTTTCTGGGAGGAGCAAATGTTTCAGTTGGAACTCAGTAAATGGTCTAAGAGCAACTGACACTGAAACAAGGCACATATGAGCCTTGTCAATCCTGGGAACTTACTGTGGAAGCAAGGTGCAAATATAATGTTTTAAAGTTGTTTGATTGTGTATATATCCATATAATATAGCTAGTAGTAAAAAGTGTTAGGACTAAAATAGTGTTTGCTTAGGCCATAATCCCTTGAAGTTATTAGATGGGGGAAATAATCTACAATTTGCAGCCTTTCCCAATGGTTGGGTAATGCTGGGTGTTGTAGGGCTTTTTTCCCTGTTTCATCTTACATAGAATTATGTCATTGGTGGCTTTTCAGTACGCTTCCATTTTAATTTGCTTGCAGTGCGTTTTCGTGCAGTCCCTGGACTTGATGTAGCAGTGGACCCTATTCAGATGAAAAATGTCACCTTTGAACATGTTAAAGGGGTAAGTTCAAATGTTGCATGTCCTATAATGGTTTGGTTGAATTGCAATTATCACATGGAACCTGAAAATGTGTGTGTGGGGGGGGCTTTGACAAAATGCCAAAACTGATGTTTTTTGCATGAAATATCTTTGCTGTGCTGTAGGAAGTAAAATTAATTACATTGTTGATTTGTGACAAATCCAACCTCTTTAACTTAGAAGGAGGTGTCACTTTGTGCAGTGGTACTTAGCAGTGAGAAATATAAAAACTGTAGTGGGTCTTGCAAGCTCCTGCATGTATGTTAGTCATTTCGTTTAATGCTATTCAAAAAACACAGGATAATACAGTGATGCCTGCCAAGATGTTTGGAAATAATGGATGCTGCAAGGCTACTCAGCGAAACTGAATGGGTTGCACTCAGGGTGTGAATGAGTCTTATATGTGCTTAAGAAGTAACTCTCAGGATTATGGTCATAATCTATCCAAAACTAACATGTCCAAGACAAACTGTGATGAAATAATAGAGATTTTAAAAATGTTGACACATCATATTCATAAATTCATTTTTCTTAATCGAGTACAGGTTGAAGAAGCTAAGCAAGAGTTGCAAGAGGTGGTAGAATTTTTGAAAAATCCTCAGAAATTTACTGTACTAGGAGGTAAACTTCCTAAGGGTAAGTGTGAGCTTCTTATTACTGACAACCACTTTAATGCCACTTGTTTTGGCAACTTTCAGGGTACTTATTACAGTTTTAGCTGATTTACATGAGGCAAGTAACATTGGCATTTGAGTTACTGATTCAGGTATTTTAATTTTGTATCTAGTTCATCTCCTTTTCTATTGAGTAAATAACTTTGAAAATGCTTTTAATTAACATTCGTTCCTAATAGAAGTACCATTAGCCCTTGTTATGCTTGCTTAGCTTCTTCATACTTGCCAATGTATACACATATTCCTGATGTGGTTTAGTATGTATTTTGTCTATATTTGTCATAACTATGTTGAAATTTTGAATGAACAGCATTTGGCACTAAGTAATGATGCTGCATATTAAGAAATGAGAGAAAATAAACAGACTTGGAAGATGGAAAGCTATTTGTTTTGGTTTGATTATATTTTGATGCCATTATTTTTCCAGGCATTTTGTTGGTAGGACCACCTGGTACTGGCAAAACTCTTCTTGCCAGGGCTGTGGCAGGAGAAGCTGATGTTCCTTTCTATTATGCCTCTGGTTCAGAATTTGATGAGATGTTTGTTGGTGTGGGAGCCAGTCGCATCAGGAATCTGTTTCGTAAGTCCAGCTGTTTCTCTTGAATACAGCCTGCCCTTTTGGAGAAGAGTATAAGTATACAATTTGAGGTCTAATAACAAGAATTCAAAAAGATTGTTTTTTGATATTTACATTGTATCAAGAGTTCAACTTCAGTCTCATCCTTGGTAACCTAAAAATACTTGAGACTTTTGGTGTACCTGATTTAGACAGGAGCCCCTTTGCTCTTTCAGTTGCTTTAGAACTAAAATAGCAATACCTAACACTAAAATCTTCCATGTGGAAAAGTAGCCAGTTATAATATTCAGAAAAATCTCAGGAAACTTGTATTAAAATTGTGAGAAAAAAATGAAATGCTGTATGAATGAATCTGACTGTATTCTTAGGGGAAGCCAAAGCAAATGCACCTTGTGTTATATTCATTGATGAGCTGGATTCTGTTGGTGGCAAAAGAATAGAATCTCCAATGCATCCCTACTCAAGGCAGACTATAAATCAACTCCTTGCTGAAATGGATGGGTAAATATTAATTTCCATTTGAATTTAACAGATATGCAATTATGTTGTAACTGCACAAATTAAGGAAAATATGCTGGTTTCATGGGGAGATCTGTGTGGCTTCAAAACAGCAGATAGGTTGTTGTTGTTTTGCATTTCTGTACTACGCGTAGCCAGAGCTCTCTGGGCAGTTTGCAACGAGATGTAAAAACAATGATATGCATCTTAGCAAGAAAATACTTTAGCGTTTAAAAAAATGATGCACAGACATCTAATTAGGGCTGATCCAAATGCTTGAGCTTACTGAATTTCTCAACATTCAGGTGGCTGTGGGTGGGGGAAAGCCCCGCCTGAACAGTAGAAGACACTGCAGCTATGTGGGAGTAGGAATACCTGCATATCATAGTACAAGGTCCTGTTAGGGCTTCATTCCTTATTTGTTCACTTCTTTCATTTTAAAAGTAGATTCACAACCAGGGTTAAGTTTCTGCTGGCAACAGAATTAACATATGCTTTGAAAATAGCTGGAGCCAGTCAGTAATACCCTTGAAAGATTCTTGTAATGATGCTATACTTGTATCGGGGGAAAAATGGTTGTCCCCATGGGTAGTCCTGGTCTATGTTTTGAAGGAGGGAAGTGTGTTTGTTATGGAATGATGGATAGATGGAGTGGTATGTGTGTGTAAGAAAGAGAATTAATGGATGATGGAGTGTATGCTTATGCTAGAATGAATGGGTGGTGGTATGGGTTTGTGTATGTGAGAAAGAGAGAATGACTAGATTATAAAGGAGATGAAAAATGGGGTAGCAAGAAAGGTATCCCTGCCTCCTTTTTGCTTTCCCCCAGCTATTCCCAGCTCTCCCCACCATCAGTGTGTGCCCCCCTAGGAAGTGTTGGCCTCAGCTTCAAAATGGTTCTTGGCACTACCCTTTAGAATGCCTGCAATAGTCATTGGACCCCTTACTGAGTAGTGTTGGCATTGTTAGTCTCTGGTTATACTTGCAAAACTAGAAAAAAGTTTATTGTCAATATATTAACTAAGCCCCTTTCCTTTTCTGTAGCTTTAAACCCAACGAAGGAGTCATCATCATTGGTGCAACAAACTTCCCTGAAGCATTAGATAAGTATGTGTGTGTGCGTATATATGCATAAAATATAACTGCATGGTTTGATTTTGTGCATATATGATTTAGCAAGTACAGGCCAGTGATAGGGTACATAAGTAATTAAGCGAATGTAATAATCTTATCCTTATAATTTTTGAGGAAGCCCAGAAGGGACTACCCGATATGTCTTTCTTTAGGAGAAACAGCACTGTTTTTTGCAGGTTGACCCAGATTTACTCATACCTAAAACAGGCCCATTCAAATCGATTATGATATGCTCTCATTCAAGTCATGTACGACTTCACAAGGACCCACACACCCGTTGTAAGGAACCTTTATACAACAGGCAAATAGTGCGTCTCTGGCTAACAAGGCGATCCCACCCAAAAGGATCTGCATTCAAACACTGTTAAAGAAGAGTAGACTGTGGAGAAGACTTCAAGGGCACATTTATTTGGTGAATTAGCTGAGCAAGTGAATTTGTTACCACTTACACCAGTTTAGAATGGTCTGGCCTTCACCAAATTATGCCCAGACGGGAGGTTAGCTGCATCCTTGGTGAAGCTGGGCTCCAGGACTAAAGATTGTTTTAAAGATTCTGCGAAGGAGCCTTTCCAAGGTTTGATGTGCATGCGTGCACACATGTACACAGTGGGGGGAAATTGGGTGGAGAATACCGTTTGTATTAAGAACTTCCAGAAGCAAGTGTTGCAACTCCTGGTCTCGAGGAGGAAGGAAAACAGGGTAGCCTTATCTGTGGGAGCAGGGCACACAGTAGTGGCATCTTATTATGGCAAGCAAAGAACCTAGTGAATTTGGCAATTATTTAATAATTGCAGCATACAGCCTTTCTTTTTGGAGAGACTAGGTGATTTCAACAGCATGGCTCTGTACAGGGGGAGATTGTTGGCTGCCCAAATCTTCAGAGTTCCTATAGATTAGAAAGAGTCTATGGCATCACAGCTAGGATAAATTGGACAGCACAGGAAATGGTGGTATTTATGAAGATATAATGATTGAGCTGACTCTTCCTCTTTTATAACAAAGGTGCTTGGGTTGGTGGCTGTACTTCCTAGAAACAAATTTACTGGGTCCTTCTCATTGGGTTCATTCTATTAACGGAGGGTGGAGTGAAACAATAGTACATTGCAGGTCTGCAACCAGATATCTCACAGATATAGTTCTTGCTATCCAATACATTCATGTTTTACACAGTTGTAGTATGTAGATTATGAAGTCTGTTGGAAACTGAATTTCTTGATCTAGTCTCAAATGATGGTTCTGAACCCCATTCCTGTGCATTTTTCCCTCCATTGCTAATGCTGGGGGTGAAGATATCTGGCTTACTGGCTTTGTCTCAAATTGAAGTCAGTACTGTTCACACAAAGAACTATGTCATAACAAATCAGTGGTCATGATAAAATAAATACCATTATTTCAGTGGGTCTGCTCTTAAATAAGACTGAATCTGGATCAAACCCAGTAATCACAGCACGAATGCATGTTTGAAGTGCTGGTTCATAAATCTCCATGGGGTTTCTGTACACAGTGATTGTTAGGGCTTGTGTGGCATTTATCTGTATGAATATATCTTTAGTGGAAATCAGGAATGTATCAGGTACTTCCTTTACCAATTCTCATTCATTCTTTAAAAACAAAAAACCAGTTGTCTAACTAAGATTTTAGATTTGTTGAATGATACACAGAATTGTTTTTCCTCCCCAATTAGCGCTTTAATTCGTCCTGGCCGTTTTGACATGCAAGTAACAGTCCCCAGACCAGATGTTAGGGGCCGAACTGAAATTCTGAAATGGTATCTTAATAAAATAAAGTATGATGAGTGTAAGTATAAATGTATAACCATTGCACATAATTGCCTTCAGACTGGCTGCATAGTTGTAGTGATTGAGGTTCATAATACTGTCATCACATACCTTCTCCTTTTCTTGAACTTGATACCCTTACCCTTTCCATACCAACCATACTTTGCTTCATTTGTAAAATTTATTTTTGCATCCAAAGATTATCATTTGTTTTTGTTGGGAAAGAACATTTTATTCAACTATTTAAATGGTTGCTAAGTAGCTTGATTCTCAAGCTTCAGCTAACTTGTGTTTTAGTGTTAGTACAGTAATTTGCTTGGTTTGAAAAGTGATCATAAGGCAAAACTTCTTTAACTTTAAATGGACTGCATTCTAACCTGGTAGACTGTTATTAACCTTTTAGTTTGGGTTATCATAGGGCTTAATGTGTTCTTATTCTAATAGCTATTGATCCAGAAATCATTGCAAGAGGTACTGTGGGATTTTCAGGAGCTGAACTGGAAAACCTTGTGAACCAGGCTGCATTAAAAGCTGCAGTTGATGGAAAGGATATGGTTACCATGAAGGAGCTAGAATTTTCAAAGGACAAAATTCTTATGGGTACGCTTTTTTCTTCTGGAATAAAACAGGGTATTTTTAATGTTGATTTTGAGTTCAGTGATGTATATGCTTACATCCAGCATTCATTTATTATTGGCAAGATTGAAGGTTTTACATAGCTTCTAGGAAAACACTAGGGATACACTGAGGCTGGATTATCTTCAGATACTAGTTTTTATTCAATATGCTGACCCTAAGTTGGCATTTCATGGAGTTAGTATACATTCTGGTCTCTTACAATTAAAGATTGAAGAAGGCAGATATTGTACGTTCCATTTACCAAACTTGATTACATTATTTGTTCCTTAAAAGTAAGAACTAAATGTTTGCACAATGAATTTCATAGTGCCATTATGCGTGTTTTATGGAATGCCCCATCCTGAAATGCTTCCTTTCTACTGCTATTGATGCTGGCACCAAAACATTTTTTTCTGCAGTGTGTTTGGGTTGGTTTAATATTTCCTTTTCTGTTACATTAATATCTTGCTTCTGATTTTTAGACTATTTTGCAGACTTTGACTGATTTTTGTGAATGATTTTGAGGGGTCAAGAGGGGCAAATATTTACTATATATGAGTGTAATAACAGAATTAATATACTCGCACAAATCTAATAAATATGAAATAAAACACTCCTCTAGTTTGGACTCAATCTCAGTGACACCAGAATTACAACTGGGACTCTCAAGAGTCTTCACATGCTTGTAAAGTTTCTTTGCAGAGTTAAGTTTTTAGCCGAATTTTCCTTTTGAAGGGAATTATCTGATTGTTGCCACAACACAATTTCATTAAAAGCCCTCAGAAATAAAAGAGGCTTTCTAAATTCTTAAGAATTTGTCTTGGTTCCTGTTTGGGGACTAGATCTCTAAACAGGTTTTAAATTCTGATTGTATTTCTAACATCTAAATAATGGAACCATTCAGTATGCATTTATTTTGGTTTGTCAGCTCTCTTACGCAGAATCTTATCTTGTATACTAATAGTGAATTCGCTCTTCAAGTGTGAATTGACAAGATGCTGCTACTCATGCATAAGAGGGAAGCATTTACAGGTTTGGGAAAAATTCCAGGGTTTGCAAAAGTAAGAAGAATGTTTAGCAGGACAAAGGGGATGGACTCCATATATATCCTAGTGATGTCTGAGCATGATAACCAGACGTTGAATGCTTACCTGATGAAAGGAAAAAAATCCAGAAAACTGGAGGGAGTATGAGATGGAATATCCTGTAGACACTGGAACCTTGAGCAGGACACGATAAGGCTTTGTTTCCGATCACACATATGGTAATTAAAATCTTTCCATTTACCTTTTCTTTTGTTTTTCTTTGATTTCAGGTCCTGAGCGTAGAAGTGTAGAAATTGATGAAAAGAATAAAACAATTACTGCCTATCATGAATCTGGGCATGCACTTATCGCATATTATACTAAAGATGCAATGCCAATCAACAAAGCAACAATTATGCCACGAGGACCAACACTAGGACATGTGAGGTTTTTGGATTATATAGAAAATCAATTTACTGCTTTGCAATGCTGAGAAACTTTTCTGCAGAGTTTACTTCATTGTGATCATTGTGAAGATCTAGTTGGATTGATTTGGCTTTAATTATGGTAGCTATTGCAGAAGTGGTTTATTTCCCTTCATGAATATCAGCAGTTTGAAAGAGGTCCATATTGATGCGATTCAGGGAGAGTATTTCATTCATCCAGGACCACTTCATTTTAAAGACTACAGCACTGAGCTACCTAAGCAGAAATATTCTTTATCACGATTGGGAGTGACAGGTCTGAATAATAGATGGTGTTATTTATTAATAGACAGTTCAAAAAATGTTCATCCACCTACTGAAGCATTTGGGATGCATATATACCTTTCTTTTCACCTTAAAGGCTGGCCATCTTCCTAAACTTAAGTTAGGCAGGATATAACCATCATAGGATGAGGATATGTTGGCCCATTTAGGCACTGCTGGGTGTGTGTATCTTTGTATATAGAGGTACTGCTTACTTTCCCAATCTTGGCTTTATACAGCTAGGATTTGTTTCTGGGATAGTAAGGTAATGAACAAGGAGTTGTTTATTACAAGTTGCCATCATGTTCCAGATGGCAAGAAGTTGTCATTCACCCATTTGCTGTCTCGGAGGCAGTTGTTCCTCACCTTATATTGCCTGGCCTAGCCTCAACTTCAAAACCATGGTATTATTTACACAGGAATTCAGTGGGGAGGAGGTTCAGCCTAGGGTTAGGGTTATGAAACCGTCATGCCCTATGCGTGTCAAAGGGCCTGGAACAAGCTCAGGAGGGACAGACAAGGAGAGCTGGCCAAAAAAATTGGGATTCCCCCACTTTTCCCTGTTTCAGGCAGATCAAGGCAGCTAACAGTGGTGAAATGTGACCTAATATTTTTGCAAACTTTAATCTGCTGATACAACTTTATATCAAAGGTGTCCTTGCTGCCAGAAAATGACAGATGGAGTGAAACTAAATCCCAGCTACTTGCACAGATGGATGTTAGCATGGGAGGAAGAGTAGCAGAAGAACTCATATTTGGAGGGGATCACATCACAACAGGTCAGCAGAACTTGGAAGGAAATGCTCCTTTGTCAATATATAAGTATTTATGTATACTTTAAATTCACAACTTGCATGATATGTTTGTATTTTTTTACTATTTAGGTGCATCTAGTGATTTTGACAATGCTACTCAAATAGCAAGGCTCATGGTAACTAAGTTTGGAATGAGTGAAAAGGTAAGGTCTTTTTTCTATTTATGTTCCAGATACTATCCATTTTGTCTCATCTTTGATTCTGAGTTGTTAATATTTTGCCACCTCCTAAATGTCCTCAGTAATTAGTTGGAGTAGAGTGGATATTTCTAGCAGTATGTTAAATTATATAAACTTGCAGTGAACTTTAACTTGAAAGGTGCTGTAGAAATAAGTGTCATGTCTTCTCTCAATTTTGTTCTGTTTTCTATAAGCTTGGTGTCATGACCTACACAGATACAGGGAAACTCAGTCCTGAAACCCAGTCTGCAATTGAACGAGAAATAAGAACACTTTTAAAGGTAAGAGTAATTATGTTTCTCCGATTTACAGGATAGTTAAAATAAATAATGAATTGAATAATTATTTATAACTCTCAGCTTTCTTGCATTGATAGAGTAAATGATATGTGTATTAAGCAGCTGGTGTAATCAATTACCCCATAAATACCTCAGTAAAACTGAGACTGTTCATAAGTCCTTTAACTACTTGTTTAGTAAATAGTTTACTTCTGCTGTATTTTTCCTATTCTTTGTGTATTTTTGTATCTTAACTTCCTTCCATCTCTTGTATCATCCTCCCCTTTGCATTTTCTATAAAGTATATATGAAAAAGACCAAAAAACAATGTATGGATTAATTTTGTATGTTAAATATGAGAACAGTTTGTAGAATATGCTACTCCAATTTCTACTTTCTTTGCGAACACTTTTTGCAGGACTCCTATGAGCGGGCAAAGAGTATCTTGAAGAGCCATGCAAAAGAACACAAGAATTTAGCAGAAGCATTGCTGACTTATGAGACTCTGGATGCCAAAGAAATTCAGATCGTTCTAGAGGGGAAAAAACTAGAAATGTGATGATACTGTCCTTGTTAAGTGTTCTAACTGATTACTTGCAATAATGCAATAGTCTTCTTATGCAGTGTAGCTTTCTTTTCCTCCTGATGCGTGTGTGGTAATAATCATACTTCTTAAGGATAAACAACTTGTCTTGTGAGCTTTTGTTACATTTTACAAATGTTTGTCCTTTCTTAGAAAAAGACACAAGGAGAAAATAAAGTTCCCACAGATACAGGCGTATAATCTCAGGGTTTAATCTGGCTTCTTTGAAAACTTCAAATACTGAAGCTGAATAATATGTTCTAAATATGCCTTCCCAGGCTAACTGCTCCACGGAGACTTGGGAAGCGTAGCTCTGTTCACTCTTGTGGCCTGAGACTTATTAAAATGGGACAAGATTTACAGGTTGCAGAGGAATTATGTCTCTGTCTAGTTTAATGCCAGAGGGCAGCTTATAAAACCATCATTCACAATTTAGGAGAAAAAGCAGGAGTATATATTTAGCAGTTCATACAGACTTCAGAAAGTTGAAGGCCAGATATTACTATTAACAGAGCTACACTTTTCCTGCACTTCATGCATATGCACAGTGTGGAAACCCTGTGAACAGAGCAAGAAAGCTGATAAAAATAGGGATGCATTCACATCATATTTTGGGGGTGAGGAGACATGTACTCAGTCTCAGCTGAGAATAACTGCTTAGTCTCCTGTGAGGCAGCACTGGGAAAATGTTTCCCATCATATTTGAGTAATATACTGGTGCAACAGCAGTGCTTTGCTGCTGTCTGAACTGTTAGGTTTTTAAAAAATTGTTGGGAGCCCTGCCAATTTCCCCATAGGACACATGATGGAGAGTATTTTGGACTACTCTTCTACTTTTAGTCACATTCCCTCTTCCAATAAATATAATTTTTTCTGTTTGAAGTTTGAAGTTTTTGAGACCGTACTATAAGCACATGCTGCCAAATAGTATAATTAAAATGTGCTCTAAAATGCTCCAATTGGGCCAGAGTGGAGTGCAGTGGGGGACAGTTGCGAACAATATTCATACCTTTTCCATGGAATTATTTTGTGTGGGCAGACAGGCAGTTGGTGGATTACTCTCACAACTGTAGTGCCTGTACTTTCCATTAGTGCTGTGCCAGGTAATGGAAGAAACTTGGCAGTGAACTTCATTTAAAACTAGGGCTAACATGGCATTTTGCTGTGAATACAACTGACAGTGCAATTATTTTTGAATTAGTTGAAAGCTCCTTTTACTTCAGCAATCCCAGTATTTAAGTGCAACTTTCTTTTATTGCTTTTTCCATTGTCAACTTAGTAACTCAAGGAAGGACCTCAAGACCATTTCTTGAACCAGAATTCCAAGCTGCTATGCTGACACATTGCAAGTGTATTCTTCACAGTCAGAGATGTGCATATGAAGCATGCATGGCACCTTTTTAAAATAAAACATTGTTTTAATTATGCAGAATGCTTTTTCCAGTTTTTCCAACTATAAATTGCTTTATCTTTGGTTTTCCTCGTATGTAAATTGAGGTGTATAAAACATATCTTAAACCTGTAAATAAATTTGGGAGTTAAGCAGAATGTGTATTTTTAAAAAATCATTTCCAAAGAACTTGTTTTTCAGAGAACTTGGTATGTTTGTTGCTACTTCACTATTTCTTTAGGTATAATGTAGGACTTTTAAAAGACTTAAAATCACTTGGTTTAAAAAATACAACTTGGTCACCATTATGTCACCAGTAACATTTAAAAGGTAAGTTTCTTTCATGAAACCATGCTACTTTAGATATTTGAAATGACAGGATAATTCATGTTTTTGATCCCACAAAAGCAAGGTGTTTTAAAAAATAATCTTTTGGTTGAGGGTTTTCTTCCCTTGACAGTGGAACAAAAAATAATTGTCTAAATGAAGAAGAAATGGATTCTTAGTTCCCTTTTCCTAATTCCTTATTCCCATGAAAATTAAGCAATCATTTACTTAAAGCAATGATATCTGGCTATGTGATTCATGTTCTTCATGAATCATATAGCCAGATAGCTACTGATACTGCCTTCCCTAGGACCTTCCGCTCATGACTGTCCAGTTTCACTTCTAATGTCTGCAGTGTGGGAGAGCCCTTGACCTCTCTAGGCCACTGGTTCTACTGCTATATTGCTCTGACAGTGAGTAAACCTTTCCTGATATATAGCCTGTATTTGGTTTGTCACAACTTGAATTGATTATTCCATGTCCTACATTCTGGTATCAGTGAGAAGAGATCTTGACCACCTCCTTTGTGACAGTCTTTGAGCTGCTTAGAGGGCAGTATCAAGTCTCCCCTCAGTCTTCTCTTCTCAAGGCTGAACATACCTAGTTCTTTCAGTTTCTTCTCATACAGCAGTGTTTCCAAACCCTGGGTCATTTTTGTTGCCCTCTGGACCCTTTTTCATTTTTCTGCATCTTTCTTAAATCTTGATGCCCAGAACTGGATTCAGAGATGTTTAGCTCTGATGGACCAGAGTTCTTTTGGGACCCAGGAGAACAGCCTCACGGCTTTCTGCAGGGAGCCTTGGTGAAATTACCAATTACAAAGTGTCTGGCATTCCTGCCCCTTAGCCCTCGTGCAGTATGGGTCACCCTGAAGCAGGAGTCAAAAACTTTGCTAAAAGAGAGGGAAGCAGGAGGAGTTTGCCTGGATTCAACTATTTACATGGACAGATGTTTCTCACATCCCAAGAAGAATGCTACCTTAGTTTATATTGTTCTGTAGCCTGTTAAGTTTTAATAAAAGAACTGTGCTTCTAAAATTTGATCTGAGTAAGCTGAAGAGGGAAAAGGGGAGAGAAGTGCTCATGACATGGAGGTCTAGTGGATTTTAGAGAGCCTCAACTATTTGGCAGTATAAACATGAAATAAAGTCACTATGAGACTAAGTAAATGAAGCCTTCATGTTCAGAGGCAGTGGATCTAAAGACCAGATCCTTGGGACATATCACAAGGTAGGCCATTACCTTTTTGCCCTACATGTGAGTTTCCATGTTAAACCACTATGGGAAGTAGGTTGCTGGATTAGATGGATCTTTGGTATTAGCCTGCAATTTTAAAAAAAATGGCATCCCTTTGCTTAGCTGAGGTGGTTTTTGGAGCCCAGAGCTCAGCTTGAAAATCTAATTGTACTAATAAAGAGACAAGGCTTTGGCCTTGGCAGATGCGCTGATAACAGAACCGTATATGAGTGTGGTTTATTAAGGGTTGTCTTCCGTACATACAAAATGGCAAAATCAAACCCACATGAGCTAACACTATAATAATTCACTGTTGTTATTGTTAAGTGATACCAAGTCATCTCTTGACCTAGGGCAACCTTATGAATGAAAGCCCTCCAAAATTTCCTGTCCATGACAGCCCTGGTCACATCTTGTAAAGGCAAGGCTGTGGCTTCCTTTCTGGAATCTACCTCATATTTGGTCTTCCTTTGCTGCTTCTGCATTCCACGTTCCCTAGCATGATTGTCTTGTCCAGAGAGTTTTGCCTGCTTATAATGTGCCCAAAGTATGAAGCCTCAATTGTGTCATTTTTGCTTCTTGGGAAATCTCTGGTTTGATTTGAGCTAGGACCCAGTTTGTTTTTCTGTCAGTCCAGTATATTTGCAAAGCACTCCTGCAGCACCATGTTTTGAATGCATCAATGTTCTTGTCAGCTTCTTCATTTTCCAGCTTTCACACCCACACACAAAAGATCAGAAATGCAATAGTGTGGTTAAGCTTGGCCTTGGTCTTCAGTGAAACACCCTTACACTTCATCTTTTTCCAGTTCCTTCATTGAATTGCTTCTAAGTCTCAAATGTCTTCGAATTTCTTGGCTACAGTTTTCATTTGAGTTGATGACTGATTCAATACAAAATCTTTCACATTTTTTGATTTCTTCATTGCTGACAAAGTTCTGTAATTCTTCTGTAATCAAGATCTTTGTTTTCTGAATGTTCATCTGCAATCCTGCTTTTATACTTTCTTTTTTCACTTCCATCAGAAGTCACTTCAGTTTATTGCTGCTTTCTGCCAATAATATGGTTTTATCTGCATATCTTAAATTATTGATGTGTCTTCTGCTAATTTCCATCACTTCCTCTGGTCCTAATCCAGTTTTCCTTATGATATGTTCTGCAAACAGATTGAACAGAAAGGAAAATAAAATGTGCTCTCCAAAGAATTAACTTGGCATATTCCTGCAGTGAAAAATTTAACATTCCATGCATATAACACCACCGGCTGGTAAGCATTCTTATTTCTTTTTGCAATACTACCCGTGGAAAAGCTCTATCTGTTTATAATTGGCTTAAAGAAGAAAGAGAAAGCCCTCCTTGAGTTTTTAAGCGGCAACTGATATAGGAGAGAAAGTGAAGGCTTTTATCTGAATTGAAGCAGAAGAAAAAGATTTTTCTTCTAATCTCTCTAAGGGGGAAAGCAAAATGAATAATTATGGTGGAATTAATTGATAATTGATAGAAGATTAAAAGGTAGAGTGATCATTTGGGATACCTGTTTGGACTTCTGCCAAGAATAACTGGACACTTGCCAGGATAATTTTGTTACATGGTGTTTTCCTCTCTACTGAGATGACTTTTTGGTGAGCATTTTTACTTTCTTTTTGCAATATTACCTGTGGAAAAACTATATCTGTTGTTAATTGGCATAAAGAAGAAGGAAAAGCCCCTAATTTGCTGGTGGCCATCTTTGGCCAGCTTCCATTTATTCTTGGACTTCTGCCAAAAAGAAGCTGCACTGAACACATTTCTCATTTTTTTCTTTTTTTTAAACAACCTTTTGCTGCCACCTGGTGGTTATTGGAATTATTACAAGCTACTTTTATTTTCTCTCTCTTTTTTCCCCCTTCTTTTTAATATTTTGTTCAATATTCATTTATATTGTTCCCCCCTTTCTTTTTTTTCTTTCTTCTTCCCTTTCTACCTTTTTTTTTTTTTTTTTTTTTGCTGTTATATATTGAAACTTCTTTGGTGAACAACTTCCATCATGAGGAAAACTCAGCCCTCTTCAGCGGGTCAGAGCCCAATTCATCATCCTAAGACAAGATGTTGCAAAAAGCTTAAAAGAGTTGCAAATGACGACTTTGGCGATACAGGTGGCTTTAACAACTTTGCAAGCATCTCAAGAGGTGATGTCAAAACAGCTGGAAAGCTCATCAAATGAGCAAAAAGAGCGACTTGACAAATTGGATAACTCTATTGAAGAGGTGACAACTCAATTATCTGATGTTAGACTTAAAGCAGAACAGAATACACAAAAAATCCAACAAGTATGTGAAAAATTGGAGACAGTAGATAAAGAAATATGTTTAATTAAGCAAACAAATAAGTCAACATGGGACTCAATGGCTGCATTAGAGATGGAGAAGGCATCTTATTATTTAAGATTTCAGAATTTACCTGAAGAGAAAAATGAGGATCTGTGAGAGATTATATGTTGGTGGAACTTTTAGAAATTGAGAACGAGGTCATGGGTATGGAAATTGACCTTGTTTTTAGGGTCAACTCCTCTTATACCAGAAAATAAACTTCCGAGAGAAGTTCATGTCAAATTTGCTCTAAGGTCTATAAGAGACAATGTTTTGAAGGCCGTATGGGAGAAGACCTTAAAGAGAGATGATCATCAGGAGGTGATGGTCCTGAAACAAATACCATGGAGGATTAGAGAGGGACGAAAGAAATAGCAATTTCTTACTACAAAACTGATCAAGAAAGAGATTATCTTTAAGTGGCTAACACCAGAAGGCATATTTTTTACATGGAACTCTGTAAGATATAAATTGGATTCAATTCTTAAAGCACAAGAGTTCTATGAAAAACTTAGAGTCATGCTAGAAGAGGAGGACCCTGTCGTCTCTAAAGAAGGAGAAAAAGGTGCCGAAGCAATGGAAATAACAGTGTACCATTCTGAAGAAGGAGAAATACTGAAGGTTGATTCACAACAAGAAGTACAGACTTTGGACTCAAGGGAGAGAAAAAAAGGTAGAACTGTAAAGGCAAAGAATAAGTAGATAATTTTATTAAATATGGCTCTTAAAAAGGAAGGGAAAATTGAATTGTTCTCCTTAAATGTTAATGGACCATCTAAGAGAAGAAGGATTTTTGCTCAACTTCAAAAATGAAAGTTAGATATAATTTGTTTACAAGAAACACATGTTAAGAAACAATGTGTTAAACTTCTGGAATGTTTAAAACTGGGAAAATTGTTTGTATCTTCTGCTTCGCAAAAGAAAAGAGGTTTAGCACTATATGTTAAATAAAAATTGGACCCTAAATATATTTTTGCTGATGAGGATGGTAGGATCTTGATGGTAAAAATTACAATTAAACTTAAAAAGGTGCTCTGAGTGGCAATATATGCACCAAATGACCATCAGGAAACTTTTTACCAAAAACTACATACGTTACTCTTACAAGTGGACTATCAGACCATGTGTGTAATGGGTGATTTTAATGCAATTGTGAATAAGGGAATCGATCACAAGAGTGAAAGTAAGGGAAAAAAGGGTAGGAGGATGCTTCCAAAGTCTTGTTTCAACATGATTGAAGAACCTAGAT